AGATGACATGGTATTCTTCGCGATGTAAATGACATTACTTTTGGATTAGTTAACGGAATTTCATGATTCACCTTGTCACAATAACCGTATGGATCGCCATCTCCAGTGAACAGATGATCGTATTTCTTAATTAAATCTGTCATGTTGTATACCGTCGACAGGTTCACCGCTGCTATCTCGCTGGTCTCATACATTTTGATACGCCCGTATTTCGTGACCACCACTTTCGCTTGCGTGTCAATTATTGCACCAATCTCCCGCAGAAAGTCCGCTCCTAATATCGTTCGCTGTAGTTCGGGCACAACAATGAAAGGAAACGTCACCTCGCACCCTCCAACAACAATCGTACAGTTCGACCTACCCGTTATACGCAACACATGCCCGCCTACTGCTTGTACTGTCAACGAACACGGACTAACGCTCTTACATAAATTCTTATCTATCAACGGCACGGCCGCTCCTGTATCTACTAAGCATACTACTTCTCGATCATTTACTCGCAACTTCGAATACATAGCCCCTTTCTCAATCGCCCCCACTAAGTCTAGGTTCATACGAAAGAAAGAACAAGCATTATACCGTCTGAAATTTTTCCTTTTCTGTCTTTCTGGGCAGTCTCTTCTCCAGTGTCCTGGCTTGCCGCATTCAAAACATCGGTTTTTTCTATTACCCAACTTTAACGCCGCCACTTCCCGCTGCAATGCTTCAATTTGCTGCTCATATTCATTTGGTTTCGGCTGCTCTATAGCGGCTACAGTCGTGCTCAGCAGCTGTCTGGTCACCTTCGCTAGCTCACTAATATCCATCGGTTGCGTTGCGTTAACCAGTTTTAACTGCTGAGAAATGTGGTCTGGTACACTCTCGATGAATTGGGAAGATAGTAACTGCTCTTCTGATTCTTCATCCAACGTGGGAAGCGCCCGTCGAAGTAAATTCGTCAATTTCACCGCCAATACTAACGGGTCTCCGTCAGGTCCCAGCCTCGTTGATCGGAACTGTTGCATCGCTAGCTGTCTGTCTGTTGCGCTGTCGAACTCCGACACCAAATTTTCAACCAATCTCTTCCAAGACACTGTGCCGTTTGACCGGTCTACGCTGTCATATGCCGCCTTCGCTCGGCCTCTCAACAGAGTCCCCAGAACAACTGCCTTCGCCGCCTGCTCCTTGACACCCACCAGCTCAGCTACGGCTTCGAAATCACGTGGGAAGCTCCGTACGTTTCCCGCCTCAAACGCAGCTGGCCACGGGATCTTCATTTTTCCGGAGGCAGCGACAACAAATGTACATACATATAAATACCTGTTGGTTTTCGTAATAAAACTGATCTGTTGCCAGACTTGTCTTCTGTTGTTACATTTGGTGTCGCTGCCGCCGGAAAAATGAAGATCCCGTGGCCAGCTGCGTTTGAGGCGGGAAACGTACGGAGCTTCCCACGTGATTTCGAAGCCGTAGCTGAGCTGGTGGGTGTCAAGGAGCAGGCGGCGAAGGCAGTTGTTCTGGGGACTCTGTTGAGAGGCCGAGCGAAGGCGGCATATGACAGCGTAGACCGGTCAAACGGCACAGTGTCTTGGAAGAGATTGGTTGAAAATTTGGTGTCGGAGTTCGACAGCGCAACAGACAGACAGCTAGCGATGCAACAGTTCCGATCAACGAGGCTGGGACCTGATGGAGACCCGTTAGTATTGGCGGTGAAATTGACGAATTTACTTCGACGGGCGCTTCCCACGTTGGATGAAGAATCAGAAGAGCAGTTACTATCTTCCCAATTCATCGAGAGTGTACCAGACCACATTTCTCAGCAGTTAAAACTGGTTAACGCAACGCAACCGATGGATATTAGTGAGCTAGCGAAGGTGACCAGACAGCTGCTGAGCACGACTGTAGCCGCTATAGAGCAGCCGAAACCAAATGAATATGAGCAGCAAATTGAAGCATTGCAGCGGGAAGTGGCGGCGTTAAAGTTGGGTAATAGAAAAAACCGATGTTTTGAATGCGGCAAGCCAGGACACTGGAGAAGAGACTGCCCAGAAAGACAGAAAAGGAAAAATTTCAGACGGTATAATGCTTGTTCTTTCTTTCGTATGAACCTAGACTTAGTGGGGGCGATTGAGAAAGGGGCTATGTATTCGAAGTTGCGAGTAAATGATCGAGAAGTAGTATGCTTAGTAGATACAGGAGCGGCCGTGTCGTTGATAGATAAGAATTTATGTAAGAGCGTTAGTCCGTGTTCGTTGACAGTACAAGCAGTAGGCGGGCATGTGTTGCGTATAACGGGTAGGTCGAACTGTACGATTGTTGTTGGAGGGTGCGAGGTGACGTTTCCTTTCATTGTTGTGCCCGAACTACAGCGAACGATATTAGGAGCGGACTTTCTGCGGGAGATTGGTGCAATAATTGACACGCAAGCGAAAGTGGTGGTCACGAAATACGGGCGTATCAAAATGTATGAGACCAGCGAGATAGCAGCGGTGAACCTGTCGACGGTATACAACATGACAGATTTAATTAAGAAATACGATCATCTGTTCACTGGAGATGGCGATCCATACGGTTATTGTGACAAGGTGAATCATGAAATTCCGTTAACTAATCCAAAAGTAATGTCATTTACATCGCGAAGAATACCATGTCATCTGGAAGGCGAAGTGAAGCGACAAGTGCAAGAGATGTTAAAAGACGATATTATTGAAGAAGCTGATAGCCCGTACAACTCTCCAGTGCTGTTAGTAAAGAAAGCGAATGGGAAGTATAGATTCTGTGTTGACTTTCGACAATTAAACAGTATGACAGAGTTAAAACCGTGTGCCATGCCAACAGTGGTGGAAACTTTAGACCGCCTACAAGGCGCGAATGTGTTTTCCGTTTTCGATCTTCGCTCAGGGTACTGGCAGATACCGATAAAACCAGGTGATAGAGATAAGACGGCATTCAGCGTGGGCCAGACACAATATCGATTTAAACGCATGCCGTTTGGACTAGCAGGTGCACCGTTTACCTTCAGAAGACTGATAACGCTATTACTTAGGAACTTGAAAAACGTGGAAGTGTATAGTGATGATCTCGTGATATACAGTCAAAACGAAAACGATCATGTGAAGCATGTAGAAGCCGTGCTGCGACGCATCGAAGAGTTTGGACTGCGCATTAACAAAACCAAGTCCCAGATAGCCAGAAAGAATGTTACTCTGTTAGGACATAAAGTAGGAAATGGTGAGATTAAACCACTACCGGAGAAAATTTTGACGATGAAAACAATTCCAGCCCCGAATTCAAAGAGGAAATTGAGGCAATTCTTGGGTAGAGCGGCGTTTTATAGTCGATTCGTGAAGAACTTCAATGAGATAGCAGCCCCTCTATACAGGCTACTAGGTGAGCCGAAGTTTGTTTGGTCGGAAGAATCGCAGAGGACATTTGACAGAATTAAACACCTGTTCGACCACCAACAAATGACGCTAAAACTACCTGTACCTGGAAGACAGTTTACAGTGTGCACAGATGCCAGTGACTACGCCATAGGTGCGGTCCTAAGACAAGGTGATGGAATCGTTGAGTACGCCAGTCGGGTTTTAACACTCACAGAGAGAAAGTATTCAACGATAGAGAAAGAATGTTTAGCAATGGTATGGGCAGTCGACAAATGGCGACCTTATTTACTCGGCCGGCGGTTCCACATCGAAACTGATCATAAGCCACTACAATTTTTGCAGACAGCGAGAGACCCACGGGGGAAATTGTCACGGTGGATATTGTATCTTCAGGAGTACGATTTTACGATCTCACACGTTCCTGGAAGTGAAAATGTCTTGGCAGATTTGTTATCGAGACCAGAAGACGAGCCTGAGTTGCCCGAGGTCGCTTACGGAGTGCATGCTGTAGAACAAGACCCACTAAAACTTGCACGCAAGCAAAGGTTGGATGATACGCTGAATACAGTGATACAGGTGATAACCAACGGGATAGAAGTAGATCAAGCTACGGCGAGTAAGGAGCTAACCACACTACTCAGACAGAGAGATCGACTAAGAGTGAATGCCTACGGGACTCTGACCTGGCGAGAGAACGACGGAAGCTGGTTGGCTATCATACCTCAGTCCTCGCGCCACGACATGATAGAAGAATGTCACCAGCTAGCACATACAGGCGTGGCCAGAACAACTGACCTCCTAAGACAAAGCATGTACTGGCCAGGTATGAGAGAAGACGTAGCAAGATACGTACTTGGATGTCCACGGTGCCAGCTAATGAAAGGCGACCGGTGCATACGACCACCGCTTCAGTCGATTCCAGTTACGGCGATAGGTGACTTGTGGTCCGTAGATGTCATGGGTCCATTTCCTCAGACATCTAATGGTAATCAGTACCTCCTGGTGATGACGGAACACGCGACACGATGGGTAGACGCCGTAGCGATCCCAGATCAACGTGCAAAGACCTACAAAATAAATTGTAACAACTGCGAAAAACACTACATTGGTCGAAGTGGACGTCCGCTTCGTTTTCGTATCCATGATCATAAGCTAGTCGTCAAAAGACATGACATCCACTCCCACGCTCATATCCGTGGATACAGACAACCACAGACATCAATTTGACTGGGACAACCAGCGTTCAAATATTAGACAGAGGAAACACCAAGAATGCTAGACGATTTTTAGAAGCCTGGACTCGTATTCCAGTGAATCGTCAATCAATAGACACATCGAGATAGACTAAATTTACCAATCGATAAGAAGGAAATCTCACACACAAAGGGCCAAATTTCAGTCCAAAGAAACAATCAGTTCCAATACAAGTAGCATAGAGGGTGTGAAAACACACAAAAACAATCAATCAAGACGTTCAAGGTGACCAGGAGAGATGACTGGTGGAGAAATCCAAAAGCTCACTTCAACAAACTGAAGTACGCGCAGTGAAGACGTTGCCTAGTAGGGGGCAATGAAAGCTTCGCAAATAAACCAGCCAGCCAACTCAAAGAACACAACTACATCGAAGAAACTTACTTGTATCGTTCACCTCTTCTGTTGTATTTCTTTCTCCTAAATGTTCATTATGATTTCCATTTGTCTCTTGACTTTGAACAGGTTTCATTTGTTTATAAAGTTGTTGTAAACGTAGACGTAAGCGTTTCCTGTCATCGACAAGACGTTGTAGCAGTAATTCACGAGCTCTAGCACGTTTTGCTGCAGCAGCACGTCTATGCGTGAATAGTGTTACATATTCTTCAACTGTTGTCGCTTCCATCTCCAACTGAGCATTTACACTTTCTAATCGACTGCGTTCTTCAGCGACCGTACTGAGTTCTTCCATACATTTGATAAATTTAGCTTCTAATTGTGTATGAGCAACCTGAAAAAAAAATTAAGTACAACATTAGTTTACTACTATTTTGTGGTGATTGATTTTTCAATATATTGACAGATCAGCAATTCTGTGCTTAATAAAGTGATTATTGTGATTTTGCTTTTTAATGTAGATTGACACATTTAAGCCTATTAGATGGTTGGAGGCAATCGGTAGGAGGCCTTCAACCGAAGTTTCGTGTTTTTTGGCACTCATCAATCAGAAAAGCGTATCTGCAACCTTGAGGGAATTCATGTCCCTTCTGAGATTCAAACGTGTGTCACTCAATTCTGCAGTCGAAGAGGTTACCAAGGAGCTATTCGGACTCACAACTGACCTCATATGTAGGACTGTATTGGATACTTTTTGATTGGAAATTGGTGAAAAGTGTACTGCTCAGCAGTCCGCTCCTTCCTCCTTTATGGCTGTGAATGAGACATGGACATTGAGAGTGGAAGACATGAAAAGATTAGCTGTCTTTGATCATATGTGCCTGCATTCTATCTCCCGTGTGAAGTGGTGTAATAGGGTGAGCAATATTGAGGTTAGGCCTCAGTCGAGTGTTAGGTGATGAGGGGAAACAATCGAAATGGCTGTGAAGCTACATCAACTGAAATGGTTAGGACATGTGTTACGTATGCCAGGTCATCGCCTTCCTCGACGGGCAATCTTAGCTGACATAGAGTCAGGCTGGAAAAGAGCTAGCGGTGGTCAAACCAAAACATGGCACCAGTCAGTTAGTTTAAACCACGTAGGAAGGTGTAAACTTCCTGACTGGTTGGGGTCCTCGGGACGGTAAAAACCAATGGTGGTTGGAGACAATCCGTGATATGGCTCAAAATCGTTCTCAATGGCTGGTGCAGATGCATCCACTCCTTGTGACTTATGATTTCCAATGAAACTACACTGCTCTTCGTTACTGTTATTCCTTTGTCTCTCACCTCTGTTTACTGTCTATATTATGCATTTCTTCTATTTTCTTCTCTTCCTTTGTGTGCTACATGGAGTGTGGCGACTTGAACTGCGGCACATCCGTGCAAAGTTCTATGTTGAATACAGAGAGACAGACAGAGTCCATGAATAGTGCAGATTGAATTCTGTTTTCCATCTTACCACTTTTCATACAGTTGTGAAGTGCAATCACAAGGCAGGAATTAGAATATAACAGTAACAGCTGAATCCTGACTCTTTGAGTAGTGTAGACGGTGGATGTCACAAGCTACTACTACTCAACAGGCCTCTAGGCATCCTACACTAAACCTACTTGAGTGAACACCACGTTTCTAAGCGAGTGATCATTTAATGCGTGTTTCAGCTGATGTGAATTTAAAACTATATCGATTTCTACTTATCAGCTATACGTATCACGTTACGTCTAATCTCCACGTAATTAAGTAACACTCATTTCCTGTCATTAATTTCAATTCAGTTACCCTAAAACATGTCTATGTAGTAGCGGTCATGGGCATACAAATTGTGTGAAAGCTAACGACATTTTTCGGCCGCTTATGAGTAAGTAAGTATGTATGTTCGTCGGTTTTCGACATAGAACTTTGCACATATGTGCGGCAGTTCAAATCGCCACACTCCTTCCATGTAGCACACAAAGCAAGAGAAGAAATGCAAAATATACACAGTAGACTGGGGTGTCAGACAAAGGAATAGTAATAACGAAGAACAAAACAGTTTAATTGGAAATCATAAGTCACAAGGAGTGGATGCATCTGCGCCAGCCATTGAGAACGATTACTTTGAGTCATGTCACCAATTGTCTCCAACCATTGGTTTTTACTGTCCCGAGGACCCCAACCAGGAAGTCTACACCTTCCTACATGGCTTACACTAACTGTTGTGGATTTCATCGACTGATGAGGCCGTTTTCGTCTGACCGCCGTTAGCTCTTTTCCAGCCTGACCCTATATCAGCTAACATTGCCCGTCGAGGAAGGCGATGACTAGGCATACGTAGCACATGTCCTAACCATCTCAGTCGATGTAATTTCACAGTCTCGTCGATTGATTTACCCTCCTTACCTAGCACTCGATCGATGCCCAACCTCAATATTGCTAACCTTATTATACTACTTCACACGGGAGATAGAACGCAGACACCTATGATCGAACACAGCTAATCTCTTCATGTCTTCCACTCTCAATGGCCAGGTCTCACAACCAAAAAGGAGGACGGAGCGGTTTGATGAGCAGTTCATCCGCCCTTTGGTCGATAGTCAGATATCACGTCTACGCCAGAGACGGTGTAAACTGGTATATGCGAAACTAGCCCTCTGTATCCGTGCTGAGATTTCGTCTGAGATCAACCCGTTGTTGCTGGTGGTACTTCCCAAGGAAATGAAGTGGTCAACGTGCTCTACCACTTCACTTCCTATTTCTAATCTAGGAGTCGGTGTAGTCCAATCCTGTAACATCATCTTGAATTTGGCGGGAGCGAATCGCATGCCAAACATTCGTAGATTGCAGCTCAAGGTATTCAGAAGACCCTGCATTTTGTCAGCGTCCTCGCCTAGAAGGACTATATCGTCTGCATATTCTAAGTCAACGAGGTTATTTCTTGGTAGCAAGTCAATCCCTGAGTCTCTGAAGTGAGTTAGGGTTAATTCCATTAATACATCTATGATGAAATTGAATAGAAATGTGGGCGGTGTGCATCCCTATCGGACACCACTAGTTGTCACCACTTCAGGTGACAACTCGCCGTAAGCCCTCACCTGGCTGCATGAGTACGAGTAGAGTGCCTTAATCAGTGCAATGTATTTTCTCGGCATGGAGGAATTCAAACTCGAGACCCTTATACTGGGAGAGAGTCGAATGGTGAAGCAGGTGAAACACACATCTTTACACGGTCATTCTGCAATAATCATATAGTTCTCAGGATTTTAAGAAGTATTTAGTAAAAATTAAACTTGGAGTTAGTTCATGAACTGACATCAGTTAGGGAACCAGTCCAAATCCAAAAGAACTGGACATCGTTTTCGTCCCAGATTTCACATCAATTGACCTGCATGTAAACTACTATTCAGAACAACACTAAAAAACATTAATCGCCAACAGCTTTAAAAACAAAACATAAGTGATGGAAGGACAACGGTGAAAAGCTTAGTGTTTACGGTACTTGTACGCAACAAGGACACTATAGAAAACGGCTTATGAAAAAGTGTCCATCGCCGACCGACTGACACACTGGTTTCAACAAAGAACTTTGCACAAATATGCTCCAGCCGGAGTTGCCACACTTCTTCCATGTAGCACACAAAGCAAGAGAACAGAGTAAACAGAGATTCAAAAGAGAGATAATAAACAGAAATGTGAGTGGGGGAAGAAGAATAGTAATTTGGAAGAACAATATAATTTTATTGGATATTATAAATCACAAAGAGTGAATGCATCTGCGCCAGCCATTGAGAACAATTTTGAACCATATCACAAATTGTCTCCACCTATTGGTTCTTAACATCCTGAGGACTCCTACAGCCAAGTAGTCTACACCTCCCTAGGTGACTGGCTGGCTTGAACTAACTGTTATGGATTTTAGTGACTGATGAAGCCATGTCTTGGATTGACCACAACTGGCTCCTCCCAGCCTGATCCATGCGAAGTCAGCTTGTAACGACAGAAGACAAGGGTCAGGCAATAGATCCCTTCTTGAGAAAATCAACAGATATTTATAGATTTTATGTACATTATTGTTCGTCATCGTTAGCAGAGAGGTAACGTCTCCCGATTGGTTGTTTTCCTCCTGAAGGTTATTCTGTCATCTCTTTGTTGCGATTTCGTAGACAGTCCGGTGATCTATCTGCGAATCGCATCAGCCCACGCTAATTCTGCTGTGATTGGTTGTTAAGTACCTCAAAGTAAGCTTTGTTCTTGCTTCTTCTCATGACCCCGATTTGGGACGTAAACATCAACGTCAATTGTTGTCTATAATTTTGTCTTGCAAACAGCTCTCACCACAAGCTAACATTGTCCGTCCGGTCGAGGAAGGCGATGGCTAGTCGTGCATGCATAACGACACATGTCTTAACCATATCAATCGGTGTAACTACCCAACCTCTTCGATTGACTTTCCCTCCTTGCATAGCACTCACCGCTTAACCTCAATATCACTCATCCTATTATACTAACTAACAGAATGCAGACAGCCAGTATTTTTGTGTCTTCCACTTTCAATGGCGATATTTCAAAGCAATAAAGGACGTAGCGAGCACTCCTGAGCCAGGTGGTCTACGAGCTCGCTTTGTAGCCTGTAGGTCTCGGACTTCATATCCCTGGTGGAATCACTGGTGCGCACAAATGAAGAGTCCCAAACAAGGACAAAACAACCATCCAGTACTCCAATAGTTCCCCAACTGACATAAATTCGCGATCAATCTTGGAATCAATTAAATCCCCGCATAGTGACACTTGAAGAACAAATTGATTATACACACAGACACACACAAACACATATTGTTTATTGAGACATTGCTAGAAGAGTTTGTTGACAAGCATAGGACCAACACAAACTTTGAAATAACCGAGACTGAAGAGGGAAATGAATCAATCAATAAAACAAAACGCCCCTAACGATGATAAAACTATGTTAAACAAACACTCATTAAAACTTAACTGACCAAAACACATAAAAACTAAATTCCTTGAGACAATCTTTATAGGGTTAATGCATTCATTAAAGAAGGAAGTAAAGAAATACCAATAAATCTCAGCAAAGAAAACAAAAAAAAAGTGTGAGAATCTGACTTACTTGAAGTACTTCTAAGTCCTCTAATGCTTTCTGTTCCATAGATATTGAGCATTGTACACAAGTGTCATTTACACTTATGGATGATTTATACATCAACTGTTTAACAGACTCTTCTAAAGCGTTAATACAATAGACAGGATCGCTGAATTGATTCATTAATTCTTTGTCTTGTTCATTTTCTGCTTGTAATTCATAACAAAGTTTGGTAACACGTGTAAATAAATTTTGTAACATTGTTACTTCATTTGTAAGTTGGTTGACATGTATCTATGGTAACGGAGGAGAGTTTCAGTTGTACAATATTAAATATAATGTTAACAAAACATGATGACAATATATATTCAGATTAGTAATTGCATCTCTAAGCTATCAAATCACTTTATCTATAATGATAATCCATTAAATTTACTCCACTTAATATTGTTTTAATCAATCAATCACGCTCTTAAATGGTAACGTTATTTTTCGCGCGCATTTTAAATACCCCTCCACCTACTACTACAGTTATGCATTTTTTGAAGGAAATGAGGGATAGATATAATTAAGTAGATAAGGGCTATATATCCAACATATATTGCATGTCAAATCACACACATACTTTTGCTTTTTTTCAACACTCCGGTACAATAAGTGAATATTTTCGTAGTAATTTACATTCGGAGGGGTCTGTTAGAATTCCAACCAAATTACATAATAGATAAATGGTAACAGTACCTAATAATAACAATAGTAGTGACTTTATTCTAATTAGCATTTATACAACGTGCAGAATTCACCGGGGAATTTATTGCATAAACAGTTCTCCTTTGAACAAGATTTTCACACAACCGATAGCTGCTACCTTAAACATAGCAATGACCCACCAACAAAATACACTGGCTGGAACTACTGGCCCTGCAGGTCCTACTACTCCAGGAAGGTTGTTAGAATAGCGATTAGACCAAATGCAGTTACCGGCATTATGTAAGAATTTTTTTACACTACGAAGGGGATTTCCAACAGGTCACTGCAGACTTTCATCAACGGCTGCCCACTTCACTGGTTCCATACTGAAGAGCAGATGGCCACAAAGGATAAATAACAAGAAGTTATGGGAAAAAACCAACCAAGAGCCGATCGCTCAGCAAAAATGTAGGAGAAAGTGGAGGTGGATCGGGCATACATTGAGGAGGCCACCGAATGACATCGCACGCTAGACCATCGCTCGAGTGGAATGCAAATGGAGATCGATGAGTGGGTCGTCCTAGGGTGACATAGAGGAGTTCGTGTGAGGAAAAGATGAGAGAGTTTGGTCAATCGTGGACCCAGCTGAAGAGGACAGAAGAAAACAGAACAAAGTGGAGATGTGTTGTTGAAGCCCTATGTTCCACTCGGAACGCAAGGCAATAACAAATAAATAAAACCGCTATGGTTACAATTTATGTTTTATTAGCCAATCACATATTGCGATTTGGAAACTTTCGAGTCATAAACGAAACTATAGCGAATTTCGCACCATAAACTGAGTAATCCGCAAGTTCCGAATTTGATCCTACAGAAAAGGCTGTGTCTGGAGCGTCTTCTCTTTCGCTTACATGTATGGTAGCGTTGCTAACGGGGTTGTGATTAATCCGATTACAGTTTCTTTTTGTTAGTACGTTAGGTCTTTATTCTTCACAGTCTCTACTAGAGGTTCTAGTGACGGTCATATCATAAATAAATTTAGTTATTATTACTTGATTAAATCATCAATTAAGCTGTCCACAATAGCTGTCTTCGCTCAATACTACTTGAGATCAGATGGCCAGAAAAGACCAGCAACACGGATCTCTGGCAATGAGCGAACCAAACAAGAACCGATTGTGCAAGAAATATGCAAGAGGAAATGTAGGTGGATTGGCTAGGCCATACTCTGAGAAAACAAACAATCAAGTGAGTGACATCACACGCCAGACCATCACTCTCCAGTGGAACCTGAATGGGTAGCGGCGAGTTGTTTCGTAGTCAGTGCGAGGGTGACATGGAGGAGGTCATGTGAAGCGGAGATGAAAGCATGTGGGCAGACGTGAAGCCAGGTGAAAACGTTGGCAGAGAACCGGATGCAATGGAGATATGTTCCTCTAAGAACTAAAGAAGACTGTTAACTGATTCACACCACCTATCCCTCCTTTCCATAATTTCAATTTATTGATAAAACTAGTTCGAGGAATTATCACTGCTTGAACTTGCTTTCTCGGAAGAGATTCCTCATATAGCACAGGCTATATGGAACTCTCACTCTATGAAGGCTGATGAACTACCCCTCATCATCTAGGCTGACGTAGAATGAGACTCGAACCCAGAACTTATTCGTTGTAAGTCGAGTATTTTAGCCAATTAGCCATATCATTAAAACAAAAAGTTGACATCAGTTTTCGTGGGATTTCTGCGCATCTGCACACACCTCATTGATTCCTAGTCATGTTAAAAACTTGTGATTACACGGAGTCACATATATATTCAAATTACCTGATCTGTTTCAATTTTCGCCAGTAATTCATTCATATTAGTTGCCTCTTGTTGTTGTTGTCCTTGGTATTGTTCATGTTGAACAGAATCACTTTTCCCTTGATTATTTTGTTCCTTTACATCATCTTCTATATGAATAGTTTGTATTACCTTGTCAACTGAAAGCACATTTGTTGACTGATTCATTGTTTCCACATGATTCAAATTTTCCGCTTGTTGTAAAATATTTAAATGTTCAATTTGTTTAGACAGGGCATAATTCATTTCATTGGCTGATTTTAATTCTAATTGATAGGCATCACACTGAGAAAAGACAAAAAACAAAACATGACAAACAGAAAAAGTATTAACGATGTAATGATTTTGAATTACCGCGAAAAATTTTTGTAACTCGAGTGAATGTTTTAGTCTTTTTTAATTGAGAACGTTTGATTATCATCCTAGACAACATTCACAGAGTGTAATTCATCTACCTTGGTGTCCGAAACACTGTAAAACTTGACTGTTACAGTTCATGGATAATCTGTGCCTTTCGGTGTCAACATCTAGGAACATATGGCATAACACAGAAGGAGTTAGTGTATTGCCAATACAACGCGAAAGCCTGGATGCACGTTTGTACACTACGCTATGATTTAGATGAATTTATCCAAGGATATAAATATAAAACTTGGGCATAGTGGTAGAATATAACTCCATTACGGATAAAATTTTTATTTTGATAAATCACACAGTGTTGTACAGCAATATTTACTGATGACCACGTTTCTAGCACAATGTATTACTGCTCGTAATCATATGATAATAATAATAATAATGATTTACTTTATTCCAAAAACAGTACTTGTGATACAGAATGGAATTTTCAGCATTAATCACAATATTACATCTAATTTCCTCAAATTATAAATAAAATTATTCACACAGAAAAACTTTTCCACATTTACAATAGGGGTAATGTCAAAAACATGCAGCATATAAAATGAAAATAAGGATAATAAGGATAACAGCTAAGGTAATAATAATAATAATACAAGTGAAAATTGCCGTGGGCTTGTTTCACACAGTATTGTCGATGCGGTATACAAATCCTTGCATGATTAAAAATATTGAATATAATGTTCTCTTTACATGATATGGTGAGGGAAAAAGCAAAGATTACAGCAGTCATAGAGATAAGTTGGTGTTTGCAATTATGAAAGTAAAACAAAGAAGCAACAGGACCATAAATATAATAGAAATAATAAAAGTAAAACTTGAGGGTATATAAGGATGGATGGATGGAGGAAATTATTTATTTACTAGATGAAAAAAGGTTAGTCAATTCTTGCCTGACACTATTTTCATCACATAAAATACCTGCCAAGTATGGTTGGTATCGTGGAATTTTTATACTTAGACGTGCGAGCATAAAGTTTTCTGAAGTTACTTCTTGTTCTACCTGAGGAGATGCAAGGTGAAAGCTGAGGGTGAAGTGGATGCTCCAAGTCAGATAAAATCCCTTTAGCAAATTTATTGCATGAAGTCAAGTGCCTATCAACAACGACGTTAACTATGTAGTCCACTGGGACACCACTCGCTCTATTGACTGACAGTCTTCAGCATTCTACGAATTGTGACAAAGTCCTTTTTAAGCAAACCGGGAATGAATAAGGACGAACAAGAAAGATGGATAAGTAGGATGCAAGAGTTTATGAACAGTAAGAGGAGGGGTTGAGTTATACCCTAGTGCCTTAACTTCTTAATGTAAAATGAGACCATTTACTGACTCCCGACAGAAAGCTATTTATTTTGGTACAATCTGGCTGGGAGTTAACAGTCATTGAAACTGTTAAATCATCAGCGTACTTCACAAAGTTTATTTCATCAGAGTGAGGCAAGTCATATCAAGGTACTACTCACATAACTTTCTTGCTTCGTTTATATACATGAGTAAAAATTGATGACTAGACATTTGAATAAAATAAGATAATGTACATTCAGAAAAATAATATGAGTGTTATCAATCAAATACAATCAGATGGGAAATAAGACGAGTGTCTTTATAGTCAAAATAAGTAAATTGTTAGAATCTTATAATGTGAATTGAATTGAAATACATTTTAACATTATTTATTATCCTACTCTGATTTGACTGGTGGTAATAACATCTTCCATATCTCTGGTATTTGCGTTGAGCCATTTCTGTTGTATATGTTGGCTGTAGTAGACTCGATGAACCAGGTTGGAATCAGTAATCAATCTCTCCCTCTCTATCTCCACCTACCTATATTAACTTTTAAGAATTTTGACTGTGTGCCACTCACCCTATTGTGTGGTTGTGTGTTAATGCATGCATGCATGCAGTGCAATCGCTGAACTTTTTTTTTCTAAATTACATATCTTCGTGAGATCAATCATCTCTAACTTTAGCACACCATTTAATACAACAATTAAAGGGTAAAACCAACTGCATGAAATGCATCATTTTTGGGAAATAAGAGGAGTATTGTATGGTATAGTGTAGTTCTTCTTCACAAGTGAAGATGAGCTATGGATGTGCATCATTAAATTTCACCGACATTCTTGTCATTTTTGTCAGCTAGCTTCGTCATCAAGAATGATAAACGTATCATCAACACATAACGAAAATAAGAATCCATTTTATCTATTACTTGTTTCAATGGACCATTTTCAAGTGCCTAGCAAGAAAGAAATCTGCCAAAATTGAACCCACGAGAGAACCACACATTGCAATACCGTCGATTTGCCTGTAATAAAGGTTACTGAATGTGAAATGTACATTCATAGTGCAGCTTGGAAGCAGCACTTTCAGACTAATAATTGGAATTCCTATGTCGAACCACTTTTCTAGTATTTATTGGCATATGAATTCCACAGTCTCCATAAGAGGTACATTGGTGAACAGTGATGCAACATCCCATACCGAAAGGACACAGCTGAACAACTTCAAAGATTGTTTGCCTCATATAATATTAAAGTCTATGTCAAACCTTCTAATTCTCTAGAGAAGGCGTCGGTGCATGTCAAAGAATGTCACAAAGTAATTGTGTCTACAAGATAGTGTTCCGAATGTGAAGCATGCTATATAGGGGAGAGCAGTAGACAGGTGAAGGTCAGAGTGAATGAACATAGACTATGCACGAAACGTCCACCTAGAAATGAAGTAGAACTAGAAAGTCTAGAAAAAAGATCAGCTATAGCAATGCGTGCTATAGACAGTGGACATAAGATTGATTTCGACAATGTCGAAATTCTTGGAAGAGGATTTCATTCACATAAAGAAAGATTGACTTCTGAAGCCTTGCACATCTTAACCACATCGAATGCAGTGAATAGGAAAGATGGGATAGACTTATCATCCATATGGCAAACTCTTATGAAGCAAGACAGATGAAAAAGTCAATAAGCACTCTATGAGCTTCCATGACCTTTTAAAGCATATAGGATCATGTTTATCATATATGAATTCACGTATCTTCCATATGACAAATAACATACATACACACACACACACTCATACAAAACTAATCTATACAAATTAACTATAGAAGAGTGAACACAACAACAACTTGACATTAGTCTTTACAAATATATATTTTTCAAGTATTGGTTTGGTAATTATTGATATAAGTATAAAATTTGGGCACTGTGGTAGAGTATAATTCCATAATGGATAAGATTTTATTTTGATAAATCACACAGTGTAGTACAGTTATATTAACTGATGACGTTTCGAGCACAAACTATTGCTCATAATCATATCAGGTTACTCACACAACTTCTTTCCTTCATTTATATACATGTGTGGAATCGACTAGATATTGGAATAAAATTCAATATGAGATAATGTACATTCAGAAAAAATAGTACGAGTGTTATAAATCCATTACAATTAGATGGGAAATACGACGAGTGTTTTTATAGTCATAATAAGTTGATTGTTAGAATGTGTTGATGTGTTTGAATGGAAATAGAATTTTAAGATTATTTATCATCCTCTTCTGATTTGACTGGTGGTAATAATATCTTCCATATTTCTGGTATTTGCATTGAGTCACTTCTGTTGCATGTGTTGGGTGTAGACTCGATGAATAAGGATTCCGTAATCAACCTCTCTTTCCACCTACCTATATTACTTTTTAGAATTTTAACCCTATCCCACCCTATTGTATGGTTGTTTGTTAAAATTCTAAAAAGTAATATAGGTAGGTGGAAAGAGAGGTTGATTACGGAATCCTTATTCATCGAGTCTACACCCAACACATGCAACAGAAGTGACTCAATGCAAATACCAGAAATATGGAAGATATTATTACCACCAGTCAAATCAGAAGAGGATGATAAATAATCTTAAAATTCTATTTCCATTCAAACACATCAACACATTCTAACAATCAACTTATTATGACTATAAAAACACTCGTCGTATTTCCCATCTAATTGTAATGGATTTATAACACTCGTACTATTTTTTCTGAATGTACATTATCTCATATTGAATTTTATTCCAATATCTAGTCGATTCCACACATTTATATAAATGAAGGAAAGAAGTTGTGTGAGTAACCTGATATGATTATGAGCAATAGTTTGTGCTCGAAACGTCATCAGTTAATATAACTGTACTACACTGTGTGATTTATCGAAATAAAATCTTATCCATTATGGTATTGGTTTGGTAGGGATTTTGTTTAATTGCATGGAGGATTTCATCATGAGCTGGCAGAAGTAAGAATTCAAGGACCATTGGATCGGGTCCCAGTGGCTCGCCTTGTAACCAGAAGGTCCTGGGTTCGAATCCCGGTGGGCGCGTACTGATGAAGAGTCCCAAACTAGGAAGGTGGCAATTAGAAAGTTTAAACCACCTTTATGCGTTCAAAATCAATTCGTCATCACATTAAACATCCTTTGGTGAACTTTGTTTTGATACCAGCCAGGGTAGATGTACTATTACCTCTGTTATTTGGTTTAGTGGTCTTCACTGTTATTTTTACCTTGAATATGTCCTTTAAACCTGACCTAAGTAGTCTATTTTCTCACCTCTTAGCTCTTTATTAATTTCATATGTGTATTCCTATGACAAGTTAATGTGTCTGATCAGATTGTTCGAAATGTGTTGCGCAAATACAGCATTACACGATTCACACAAATTACGTCTTCTTATTGCTTTATCTAAATTAATAAAGGGAACTAATTGTTTTAAATATTATTATAACGCTCTCGTGCGTCGGTGGCACAGCGGTTAGGACGCTCGCCGACCATCCAAATGGTCCGGGGTTCGATCCCCGGTCGACGCACTCATTTACCTAGTTAAGCCAGAAATAAAAGCTGGTAAAGAGGAAAGTTTGGGTATGAGGCTAGCAACCCCATCCTGTAAAAAATCAACACTACTACGGAAACTTCAAGCCTCTAGCTTGAGGCCCTATTTTCCACTAGGAACGTAAAGGAATACAAAAGAAAAAATAACGTTCCCATTCTTCTAGACACAAGTACACAAATTTGATATTCTCATACAGAGGAGAAAAGAAATAATGAGAGGTTGTTTGTTTTAAACACTGTTGTCGAGGCATCACATCAGAGAACCAACCATATATTGATTAAACTGGGGTAATTCAAATTGCAAACTGTCATTCATTTTGTGTTTGTTTGTTTTCTGTTTAATAAAAGATTCCTTGACACAAGAAGCAGCAGGTCCAGACGGGGAAAAAACCATAGGCCATTAAAATTTTAATTCGAATTCATATAAAGTTACACAAAAAAAATGATTTTTAAAGAACAGTTACTTCACATAAGTGTCAAATTTACACTTAGAAAACAGAAAGATTGAGCGAATAAATATTTACCTTTTTTAATTAGATCCTCATCTCACTCTGGCTCTACTCTTATATACACCTATAGCATTTTTATTACAATACACAACCATTTACCCATCAAGTGGTATGCGATATGTTTGTTAACAACAATTAGTCAGTGTCAACATGTCAATGTGTATCTACCAGTTTGACTGCAGCTGCGGAGACAGCTAAATTGAGCGTACACAATTAGGCAGGTTCATTATCGTGTTTCCGAACATCATCCAACATGGTTAAGCAAGGGACAAACAAAATCCACTCGTAGCTCTATTTTGGCACACCTTGTAGACACCTAGTGAGCATAAGGTTGACGTTAATATTGCATTTAAAATTATCTATCGCATCCCTACTAATCTTAATTTTGCTCTACGAGTTCGTCTTCTACAGACAGCTGAAGCAACAGAAATCCACCTGAAGAAGCCAAGCCTATGTGTTCAGAAGAAATTTGTACAGCCACTTTCTTTACTTTGGCCATCTTTAAATGAATGTATAAACCGGACCACTTTGCTCCCCTCCTCCTAAATCTTTAAAAATTGCAATTGTCCAAAATATTTTATTATTTTTTCTGACTACTTCATCTTTAATTGCATGTTAGCCTTGTAAAATAATTTATTATTATGACCAATTCATCCTTAGTTAGAAGTTATCATTGTCCGAATCGTTTTATTTTCCTTAACAATCTGCTACGTAATCAGCCTGTGCACACGCTTATTCCCTAATTACTCTTCATGTTTTCCAAAATTAAACACTACGCAATCCATGTGTTTCAACCATTTCTACCTTTTAATTGTGTGTGTATTGATTTTCTTCGTTAATTATCACCCCACTGTTTGACATGTTGACACTGACTAATTATTGTTAACAAACATATCGCATACCACTCGATTAGTAAACCGTTGTGTATTGTAATAAAAATGTTATAAGTGTATATAAGAGTAGAGCCAGAGATGAGGATCTAATTAAAAAAGGTAAATATTTATTCGCTCAATCTTTCTGTTTTCTAAATGTTTAAATGGGAATTTTTTCTATATTGAAATTCACACACACTCTGACAAAATGCAAAGTCTTCTGAACACCTTGAGCTGCAATCTACGAATGTTTGGCATGTGATTCGCTCCCGCCAAATGCAAGATGATGTTACAGGATTGGACTACACCAACTCCCAGATTAGAAATGGGAAGTGAAGTGGTAGAGCACGTCGACCTCTTCACTTATTTCGGAAGTACCATCAGCCAAAACGGGTTCATCTCTGACGAAATCTCAGCACGGATGCAGAGGGCTAGTTTCGCATATGCCAGTTTACGCCGTCTCTGGCGTAGACGTGATATCTGCCTAAAGAGCGAGTGTACTGCTCATCAGTCCGCTCCGTCCTCCTTTATGACTAGCTGTGAGACCTGACCATTGAGAGTGGAAGACATGAAAAGATTAGTTGTCCTTGATCATAGGTGTCTGCGTTCTATCTCTCATGTGAAGTGGTATAATAAGTTGAGCAATATTGAGGTTAGGCGTCGAGTGGTAGGTTAGGTAAGGAGGGGAAATCAATCGACGAGGCTGTGAAATTACATCGACTGAGATGGTTAGGACATGTGTTTCGTATGCCTAGTCATCACCTTCCTCGATGGTCAATGTTAGCTGACATAGGGTCAGGCTGGAAAAGGGCTAGCGGCGGTCAAACCAAAACATGGCTTCATCAGTCAATGAAATCCACAACAGTTAGTCTAGGCCACGTAGGAAGGTGTAGACTTCCTGGTTGGGGTCCTCGGGACGGTAAAAACCAATGGCTGGAGACAATTGGTGATGTGGCTCAAAATCGTTCTCCATGGCTGGTGTAGATGCATCCACTCCTTGTGACTTATGATTACCAATGAAACTATATCGTTTTTCGTTATTACTATTCCTTTGTCTCACACCTCTGTTTACTGTCTCTATTATGCATTTCTCCTACTTTCTTTTCTTGCTTTGTGTGCTACATGGAGGGAGTGTGGCGACTTGAACTGCTGCGCATCGGTGCAAAGTGCTATGTCGAAAACAGACAGACAAACACTTTACACAGTTTGAGATGATTATTTCACCAAGTGTTTGTGTGCTTAAGAAACCCAGAACACGGTGCAGATAACAATATGTAAGCCTACTTGATGATAATGCCTACAGGCATGGCAATCAAGATACCGAGCATCAAAGCATAAAACGATATACTACTAATTAATTGAAATGAGTCGTTCCATTCCAAATGGACGTGTTTTAAACACCAGACCACCGGTTCGCTCATTGAAGGTGAAGCTCATCCACCAGTGTACACGGTTAGTTCAGCGCTCAGTTCAGCCAGCCGAATCAACGTAAATAAATAAATATAAACAAGTCATTCAGTTTCTATTTTAGTAGATTGTGATTGTAAAATCAATTGACAATTATTTAACACACACGATGAAAGGTGATCTTTTAGATTATCTTTTCGAAACACCCCTAGCTGTCAGTCAGTATTCCAGTTTGTCTAGTGTAGACTTTCAATCCTGCTCTACGCATGAATATCTACTGAAATTAAGGCACATACACCAACGGAACCGATTTGGGAACACCAGTGCCTAAAGTTTCCAAGTTGATAATATTTGTATAGATGACTGGAAGTTTCTCCACAGGCACGACGAATCGACACTAATTCGCCAACTACTGAAAACCACAGCGTACTGAATAGTTGTTCCGTCCTAGCTTAGGACTCTTCAATAGTACGCATGCATGACCCACACTAGGAGTAGAACCCATAGTTGACAGGCAACGAAGCGAGCACGTTATCATTCAGTAAACGGTTAGTAAATTCTAGTTTTTGTTAATTATTTTTTATATATTCTGCCGTTGGGCAGCCGACGCAATTTCTACTAATTCAGGACATTTATCATAAAAATGATGAAAGAGGTCATAAATATGTATTCAATTGTGTGTATGTGGGGAGAGAGAAGACAGGAATACGCTGCACCACTGATAAGAAGACTCTAGAAGATGTGGATCTCGTGGATGACTTATGTCTAATGTGACGGAAACTCCAAGGCGAAAACCAACAAACTAACTGAAGAAGCAGAAAAGACAGGACTTCGAGTGAACATACAGAAGATGGAGGTGATGATGAAGATAACCAACCAACCAACAACAAAAACAACCAGTACCAATAACTGCCAGATGAGTGAAGATTAGAGAGGTTTCGCGTGCACTTCGGATTGTGAGGGCGATTGTTACTTCCCGGCTGCCCACACCGTGGAAGTTGGTTGCGTGACCACAGAGCCCAGGGGACAACTGCTTGAGGCCGGTCACACGCAGCCTGTTTTTGTTTTTTCTTTCTTGTTTGGTGTGTCTCAGTAGCATATTTATCACTTCTGCCCTGTGACACGGTAGCAGGAAGCGCGGTCGTTGTTAATCCGGACCCCGACCGATCCAGGGGTCACATCATTGGATTGGGTAGCTATCCAAACAACCTTTCTGGCATGGTAGGACCCCAAGCGACATAAGTCTCAGCCAGTATAGCTTGTTGGGTCATTGCGGTGTTGAAGCCCGACCACCACGTCAAGGTAGCAGCTTTCGGTCGAGCAATAACTGCCAACGGAAGAAATATGGAAAGGGGTCGCTTCTTTCACTTATCTAGAAAGCATCTTTCTAACTACAAGCTACAGCACGAATGAAGATGTCGAATCCAGAAAAGGAAAGGAAAGACAGACCTTCATCACTTTGAAATCAGTTTGAAAATCTTTTGCACTCAGCATAAGCAATAAAAACCATATTTTCAATGGTGAGTCAGTCGGTTCTTCTATATAGGTCAGAAATTTGGCTCACGCGTCACGAATATCCTCTCCGACAGGCTAGTGTTGTTGTAGACTTTTATCAACAACTGCTCACTTCGCTGGCTCCATACTGATGATCAAATGGTCAGTCAGAAAGAATAAGCGACAAGAAACGCTGGTCACCAACGAACCAATCAATGAACTAATGCTCAACAAATATGTAGAAGAAAATGGAGATAGATTCGGTATACGCTGAGGAGACTGTTGGTTGACATCGCACTCAATGCAGGCCATCGCTCGAGTGGAACCTGAATGAATAACGACAAGTTCGGTGTGTGTCCAAGGGTGACACAGAGGAGATCATTTGGGCAGGTCAGCTTAAGACAACTGCAGAGAATAGGACAAAGTGAAGATATATTGTCGACGCCCTATGTTCCACTCGGAACCCAAAGGATCAATAAATAATAACATTAATAATTAATCAATCAATCAAGCATTAACTTACCTGTTTGTTTAATTCATCAACTTGTTTTTGATAATTTGTCATTGAATTACTCGATTGTTTACATTCAGATTCTAATTGTTGTAATTGTACGCTTAAATTAGCATTTGTTGTAGTCTATACAAAAATAAAAATGTAAATTGCGTGGGCGTATAAAGCAGGGAGAATAAATCAATACTTATCTATTAATATATATATATCGATTTTTTTAAACAAAAGAGAACAATGTAGATAAATAAATCATATATATACATATTCATTTGTTTTTATATTTTTTTAAATGATTACGTGTGGTATATAAAATAGGACTCAGTTCACAAGATCAAATTTCTTATTATGTATGAGACTATGAACCAACCGCACTTATTATTTATTACGTGTGAGTGCTTATACGATAGCATCGAGTTGCCTAGGTTAAAGATTGCAGGAAGTTGAGCGCTATAAACTAACGATACAAATCTATTATTATCATCATCAGATTATTCATCCCTTGAGTTCTTCCAAGTGGAACGTAGGGCTTCATGATGGGACATTGCCATTTTTCACTCTATGATCTGCAGTCTCTTTTTAGCTAACTGCACGATTCATCCTCCTCACACAATCTCTTCCATTTTGCTCCAAGGAAACACGACCAACTTGTCGTTTCCAATCTAAGTTCCAATTGAGGAGTTGGGGTGTGCGTGATGGGACTTATCAACGGTGTCCTATATTACCTTTTACTTATTTGTGCCGACTTTCCGAACTATGTAGAAGAAGTACCTTGATATTGGTAATGGTGATCCGGATCTTGTTTCTTGTGTTGAGTAAGGTAGCTTTTTTGACACTAATTGATTTCAGAGTAATAAAGTTTTGTTTTGCTTTTAAGATCCTAACTTTGACATTGATATAAGTATAAAACTTGAGCACTGTGGTGGTAGAGTATAACTCCATTATGGATAAGATTTTATTTTGTTAAATCACACACAGTGTAGTGTTATACAGTAATGTTAAATGATGCGACCACGTTTCGAGCACAAACTATTGCCACTCATAATCATATCGAGTCACTCACTCACACAACTTTTTCCCTTCATTTATATACATGTGTGGAATTGACTAGATATTGGAATATCCAGGTGGCTACTCATACAAAAGAGATGGACGTTCTGTCTTCCGTGTTATCGTGAGTAATAGTGAAGTTAGGCCTCAGTCGACTGCTAGGTAAGGAGGGGAAATCGATAGACAAGGTTGTAAAGTTACATCGATTGAGATGGTTAGGACATGTGCTACGCATGTATGCATGCCCAGCCATCACCTTCCTCGACCGACGACGGGCAATGTTAGCTGACATAGGACCACTCAGCTTGGAAAAGAGCTAGTGGTTGTTAAACCAAAATATGGCTTTATCAGTCATAGAAACCCGCAACAGTTCGATTAAGGCAGTCACGTAGGTAGGTGTAGACTTCTTGGCCGGTTGGGGTCATCGGGATGGTAGGAACCAATGGCGGCTGGAGACAATTGGTGATATGACTCAGAATCGTTCTCGTGTGATTCAGAATATCCAGGAGAATTCTATTGCTCTTTCCCTATTATACTATTCTTTTCACCTCACTCACACTTCTGTTTATTATCTCTCACTTTACTCTCCCCTCTTGATTTGTGTGCTAATTAGAAGGAGAGCGGCAAATTGAATTGTTGAATATCTGTGAAAATCTCTATTTTTAAACCAGTCAGTCAGTTAGTCAAAGAGATAGGCCTCAAAATCAACTTCGAATCATAGACGGCAATATTAAAGAGCAAAACCAGATTATCGACAATCAAATGGAAAAAAATAAACATGAAGAGTTTTCATGACATACCATTTGTGCATAGGCATCCTGCAGATCGGTAACTTGTTGTTTCAAGGTTTTATTCTGTTCCATAGCTCGACTTAGAGCACTGCGTTCCGATGTAGCTGTAGCTAGAACACTGTCACGATCAGCTAGTGAAGCTTGTAAACTCTTCACAGTTTCTTGTAGTGAATACAATTGCATAGTTAATCGTTGAATCTATTTATTCATATAGTATCATCAGGGACAGCGTATACAACAAAGACACACCATAAAGGAAATGAGAGAATAGTAGAAATTAGATTAAATCGTCGAAAAAATATTTTTACATTGGTTTATTACATAATGCCGATCAGTTTAATTTGATATGAAAATACAGGGGGTGGGAGGGAGAAGTAATCGTGAAGGACTTCAAAAAATAGTTAAACAACTTGTTCCAGTAATGTGAACATGCATTCTGAGGTGTTAGATAGAAAGGGTGGTGTGTACTACTCACGAGAATTAGTAAGTAGCATACTGTGTGACAACATACACAAGAATCTTGGGATTCGTTCACCACTTCTGATTCAATATTAACTATGTGGTTACCTTCAGAAGTTCGTTCACAATCATCAGTCAGCTGGGCAACATTCACTGACTGCAGCTGATAGGCGATTGCAGCAGATAAACATTCACAAAAACTGGAAAGCTAATAGTTGCACTTGCGAATCTTCGTCTTGGGTGGATGACATGAGTCACAGAAGATTCGTCAACATTATGACCAAAACCAGTGGGTAGCCACCTTGATAAAGCTTCAGGTTCAGAAAACTTTTGTAATGTCAGGCTGTCAATTTCCACAAACAGCCAGTCAACGACCATCTCCTAGGACACCTCCCTGTTAGTGTCTCATGAAGTGTCATAGGTAGCTTTCTTCCCCCCCCCCGCGAACTAGTTCATAGAGTCCCTAAAAAGACTAGCTCCTGAACATCGATAGTTTCCACCACAGATTCAAAGTCCGCGTCAGGAACGTCCTCAGATCTTTTTTTACAAAGACTTACGGTCACAACGCCTCAATGGAGATTTGTGATACGAAACAAAACCTCAGTCGATATTTTCCACCAACATAATAATTAAAAAACTGCGAGTCGAATAAAACTGAACTTATCTAGTGGTTAATTGTTCAGTTGGTTGGTTGGTTGACAATAGTTGAAGAAGGTTTAACATTTAACTAATTTTTTAAAAGAATGATTACTGAACAAAGAATATTCTTTTCGATAACTCCATCATCCGGTTCTACAGTTATATATACATACATAATAGTGAATAGTTATATTGACGATTATTCTATGAATTTGATTTGGAACATCCCGCATGAATTCAACTGCTCATGTGGAGCTAGTTACATTGGCCGTACTCAGAGGGCTTTATCTATGCGCGCGCGTGAACATGCACCTGTATGGTTGAGTAAAGGAGTAACCAAGTGTGTAAATAGTGCAGTCTTAGCCCACCTGGTAGATACTGGACATCAGATAAAACTTGACCAGGCGTTCTCAGTTATTTACAGCGTTCCTAGTAATTTATCTAGAGGAGCTCGACTACGTCTTCTATCAGTAGCTGAAGCGGTGGCAATTAATACCAGAAGACCATCTCTTTGCATACAGAAGAAGTATGTTCAACCACTATGTTTACCTTGGCCTACAATAAAGCCAACAAATCCTCCATTAACACTATAAATTCCTTCCACAATTTTCTTTTCTTTTCTTCTTCTTCTATTCCTCTGTTTCATTGACAATCGTTCATTTTCGACTTTTATGATTTCATGACCTTTCTTATGATTTTATTACCACCTTAGGTTTAAATAGTGCTTTTCTAACTTGTTATCGTATTTACAAAATCCTGTTCATTCCACTTCATTATATCCATTATTATTATTACTATTAGACAATCATTCACCAATAGTGCTTGTAATTTTACACCATATCATCGTTATTATTCTACAATCATTCATACTGTCGTTATTTTCAACCTTGAACTTATGTCTAGTCCACCCCATTCGTTGGTCTATTTTCATATTTTCTCCTACGCACCCTGATTACACACTCTCGAAACCTGTATTTTCTGTTGACTATATTTATATCTATATACACACATCAATAAATTAAATTACTTCATCTCATTTTGTCCCATGTTCTCATTGACCATGCATATTAAAAAAACTATCTGACTATTCATTATAAATTATTTAAATTAATCCCAGCGTGTTAAGAAAATCAAAACAAGATTTTTCTGAACGGTTCGCTGTGTAAGCCACAGCTTCTTCAGCAGAAAAATCTTGTTTTGTTTCGATTTTCTTAACACGCTGGGATTAATTTAAATAATTTATAATGAATCAATCTGACTCGGCGCTCAAATTATTTCAGGAATATCTGATTATTGTTCCATCCCATCTTATACCTGTTCCGCAATACACCTTCTGATATGATTCTAATTTGCCTTTACTGGGTGGCTGGCTATTGTATGCTTAAATTAATGGATTTATAATTGCAGAGCCTGAAGAAGAATTTATTGAAAACAACTGTTCGCTCTAAATATTTTGTTCTGAATAAATTATGGGAATATTCAATTTAATTAACAGAGGTTAAGTCAAATCAAATCAAATCTAGAAAACTGCATGTATTATTTAGCCATTCCACTGTACTGCTCTATATTACAACAGAGAGGAACAAGTGAATTCCGCTGAGTGAAGTGGACAAACGCATGATAATATTTGACGATTAGAACAAAATAGCAATAAAAATAATAATAACAATAGTGTTTTACCTCGGTAGTTGAATTATCCAATTCTTCAGTACGATGTTTCAGCTGATTTTCAAGTGATTCTATACGTTCCATGGATGATTGATCGGATGTTGATGCTGATGACGCTGCCGGTGTTGTTGTTATTACCACCGCATCAGACTTTTCATTATTAACAACATTAGGCGATTGAGTTTCAACAACAGCAGGCAGTGAAGTAGTAGACTGTATCATTTGAACTGAACTTAAACGACAAGCTGACGATAAGGATAACGATGATGTGTAGAAGAGGGAAATAAAAGATGATAAAGTGAATTCTCTCTTATCAATGCATTCATTCATTATTATTATTATTATTCTGTGAGACTAAGAGATATATGAAAAGTGAATCACTACACGGGGAAATCCTTATGTCGAATGAGCATAAATTTCAACTATTATCTATTAGGGTATTATATTATTGATTAATTGAAATACTGGAACCATCTGGAAGTCGCCGATGATACATGTGTCTGATTTCCCACAAACTGGAAGATATGCAAGCGAAAAGCAACAAGTTGGCAGAAGAAGAATCAAGAAGAATCTTTTACCTACCTGGGAAGCATCGTTTCAACTACAGGTGGAACTGATGAGGATATCAAAGCAGCGAGGATCGGGAAAGCAAGACAAGCTTTCACTACTCTCAAGTCTGTGTGGAGGTCAACAGCGCTCAGCATCAAAAATAAGATCCGAATTTTCAACTCCAATGTGAAGTCAGTCAGTGTTACTATACGGATCAGAGACTTGCACTGAGCGTCATAAAGAGCATCTCAAACAAACTACAGACCTTCATTAACAATTGTCTTCGCTCAATACTACTTAAGATCAGATGGCCAGCCAGAAAAGATCAGCAACAAGGATCTTTCGCAATGAGCGAACCAACCCAGCAGGAACCGATTGTGCAACAAAAATGCAGGAAGAAATGGAGGTGGATTGATTAGCCATACTCTGAGAAAACAAACCATCAAGTGAGTGACATCACAAGACAGGCCCTCGAGTGGAACCCGAACGGGAAGCGTCGAGTTGGTCGTCCAAGGGTGACTTGGAGGGGGTGATGTGAAGAGGAGATGAAAGCCTGTGGGCAGGTGAAGAACCGAACGCAATGGAGAAGCACGCTGAAGCCCTACTTTCCTCTAGGAATTAAAAGAAACAATAATAATAATAATGTGGAAGGCGTTTAACTACATCCTATCTATTAGAAGTATTAAATATTTTGTTACTTTACGCAATGGCCAACCACGAAATTAAGTCCAGGATTGGAACACCACCCGATGACGCACTCCTTTACCTCGCCTAGCCGGTAGCTATCGCGGTAAAAAAGGAAGGCTGGGCATGAGACTAACAAACAACCCCGTCCCGTAAAGAAGAAACGCAACTGCTGCTGGAATTTCAAAGCTCTAGCTTGAAGTTCTATGTTCCACTGGGAACGCAAGGGAATAAAGTAAGCGAGTTATGCAATGTACAGTTTTCACTATGACGACAACCTGCTGTTCGTCAATATGATATTCACAAAAACTTCCGTGCGCTAGGGTGCTGCTATTCAGGCCCTCGAGTAGGACTCAAATGGGGAACGACGTGTTGGACGTCCTAGAGATGTGAGTACACGGGCAATCCTGTAGCCAGGTAAAGAGGGCTCCAGAGAATAGAATGAAACGAAGATGTACTGTGGAACCTCTATGTTCCACTAGAAACTCAAGGGAATAAAAATATCGATATTCTTAATTAATATGGGAAGAATAAATAAATAATATTTAATTCAATTTAAGCATTTCAGTACAATAAATCGACGGGAGAATCTAAAATTGAAATAAATAATTAATAAGACCCGTTGTACAAGAGGCGGCTCGCGTGGCCCATGTGGTTTATTGGATAATGCTTTGGCGTTTGAGACTATGGGCACTGGATTCGAGTCTCAGTGGGAACACCATCAATCACTGGCGAATGCAGGTACATCCAGCTGACAAGTCCCAAATAGGATGAAATGAGCATCCTAGTGGATTCTACTTCTAGTCACCACCAACCAATTGACTTCAATAATATAATAAATAGATTGCCTAAGCCTAATATTAATGCAAGCAACAAGATGAATGATTAACGAACAAAGGAGTCACATGCATACTACTCACTTAGATCATTAATTTCATCATCTTTTTCACGTAATTTCCTATTGACTGATTCCAAAGATAATTCCAATTCTTGTTTTAATTTATTCGTCTCTGATAATTGTGTACGTAATTCATTCGACTGTTGTTCAACCTAAGCAGAAAAATTAGTTTTTCGTAAAAATTAATAAGCAATATCAGTCATAAAAATGTTTTATCGTTAATTCTTTTAATTTTATTTAATGTACTTTTTACGAGTTGATCACGGATTGATATCAGTTTGAGAACCATTGAAAACCAGGAAGCACTGGACAGCTGCTGTTTCATTCTAATTTGGGAATCATCGGCAGTACGCACCCACTGGGATTCGAGCCCAGGACCTTCCGGTTACAAGGCAAGTTCGTGTACCATTCAGCCACTGGGACCCGATTCAATGGCTCATGAATTCTAACCCCAACATAACTAACCCTAACAAACAAAACTATAGAAAATTAATTTGATGCTCGCTAGTGACTTCCTGCAGGATGGAGTTCCCTGGAGTTCTAGTGAGAAGTCGTGACCAGTGAGGTCCAATTAGATGTCACGTGTGTGGATGGATGTCCCACCAACGATAATGGTTGGGGTCGAGCTAAATCACGAATTGGTAGAAGTTAGAATTCATGAGCCATTGAATCGGGTCCCAGTGGCTTGGTCATGGGTTCGAATCCCAGTGGGTGCATACTTCCGATGATTCCCGAACTAGGATGAAACAGCAGCTGTCCAGTACTCCCTGGTTTTCAATGGTTCTCTAACTGATATCAATCCGTGATCAACTCGTAAAAACATAAATAACCCTTACAAACCAAACTATGGAAAATTAATATACTTCGTTGTTTCATCAAAACGAATTGTGTTATATACTCCCAAATGTACTTCGACTGGACACTAGTGTTAGTAATACTAGCGTTGTAATCTGTTTAGTCCTTTGTTTGCTGCAGACTGAATTCTATTGTCCGTCAAGTTTGCACTGTGGCCAACATTCCAGGTTGCTCGCTATTACTGTGCCCTTTGAATTATTGATTTTGACAGTTGGGGGCAATCAACCACACGAAGCCTTGCTTGACCTAGGTTTGGTGGTAGTTGGCACTCGTCAGCAACCGCCTTGACGCAATTTAGAGTCTTAGAAGGGACATAAGTTCCTTTAGGTTACAGATACGCCTTGCTGACCAGTATGAGTGCTAACTAGCACGAAACCTAAGTCAAGCAAAGCTGCCTGTGACCAACTGCCTCCAACCATCTAATACTCCCAAATGTGCACGTAAAGGAATGTGGTTGCCTGAAAAATCTCCCCCCCCCCCGTGAAGTCGTATCATAACCAACCAACTTGGAAATGACATACGTTGACTTGATCCTTTTTTTCCTATTTAATCTGTAATTTTTATGCTTCTCTTTTGGGGTTGTGCAAGACATTGATGTGTTACTTTAGCATATGAATCAAGGTCACTCCGACCTTGGACTGTCTGTGGGAATTGTTGGTGTATGATTCTTGTGAACAGAGTTTTTGATCACATCTTTTGGAGGAATATTCTACTGATTTCTCTAAGTACTTGCTTTGTACTTAGAAAATAACCTTGTCTACATATAGCTATTTAACGGCGCTGTTGAGGTAATTTTCAGTTTTTGATGTTATCGCTATCCAACCACAGAATGAAAGATTCCAACAACGAATAATGGTCTTCTTGCTGTCTTCGAGGAATCTTGTTGCTGTGTCTCAAGGAGGTTTTTTTAGCTATAAGAGAGGACACAGAGATCGATTCTCTGAGTTCAGATCATAACGGGTTGGTTTTGTTCGTAACAGAACCTACTTTTTCGTTGCCTAACACAGGCTTATAAGTTTTATTTGGCTGTTTTCGCGCAGTCACACTGCCTTTTGTGTTCCCTACTCTCTGTGAAGACTCGACAAACTCGCTCGACAATGTCAGTCAGAATTTACTTTGTATAAATAACGTATATGAAGGTGGGCTTGACTGCTTTAAAGGATCGTTGAAACTCTACGCTGTGTCATTTCTTTCTGTCTTGTCGATATGTGGATAGCTGAAAAGTATTCAGCAGTACGCACAAAGACAGAGTCAGCTTTGGATTGTTGGTGGCACATCCGCGTTGCGACGACGTAGCCGATAGTAATAACGAGTACATACATCACTGGCAACTTTCACATCACAAGTAGCTTGACCTCACATTGTACCACGATAGTCACCTTCAACTTTAGGCTTTGCACCTGAATCGATAATCACAGACACAAACAGGAGTACCAATCTCAAATTTTCTCCTACTTCTTGGTTAGTCGGTCGGAAAGCTTCGGTTCTCTTTGCAACATCGAGTTATGAACTGACCTTAGTTTACACCCATAAAGAATTTCACAGCTGGCATTTGTTTGTTTGGTGTTGATTAATCTAAAGTTGTGAGACATACCATCACCAAATTTGTGAATGATATCAAATGGTGTCCCGTCAGATATCCGGATGCTGAAAATAGACATTCTGCAAGGGAGATGTCAATACCTACATATATGCGCTTTCCTTACACTCCTTCTTGGGATTATAGTTACCTACTAATCTGCATTTTGCCTCTTCCTTGCATAATGTTTGACATCCACTAAATCGATTACTGGGGAAAAAAGCAACCTGGAAATGTCTGTCTGTTTTCGACATAGAACTTTGCACAGAGGTGTCACACTTCATGTAGCACACAAAGCAAGAGAAGAAAGTAGAAGATATGCATAATAATGACAGTAAACACAGGTGTGAGACAAAGGTATAGTAATAACGAAGAACCATTTAGTTTCATTGGTAATCATAAGTCACAAGGAGTCGATGCATCTGCGCCACTGAGAACAATTTTGAGCCATGTCACCAATTGTTTCCAACCATTGCTTTTTACCTTCCCGAGGACTCCAACCAGCCAGGAAGTCTACACCTTCCTACGTGGCTTAGACTAACTGTTGTAGATTTCATTGACTGGTGCCATGTTTTCGTTCGACCTCCGCTAGCTCTTTTCCAGTGTGACCCTATGTCAGCTAACATTGACCATAGAGGAAGTTGATGACTAGGCATACGTAACACATGTCCTAACCATCTCACTGTGCGTCGGTGGCACAGTGGTTAGTACTCTCGCCGACCATGCACATGGTCCGGGGTTCGATCCCCTGCCGGCGCACACCCGATATCTATGGTATGCCTGAATTTGGGCAACCGATATCCATGCTGAAAATTCCATACTTGTACTGAAAATACGGTGTGGAATCAAGCTGTAAATCAAAAAAAAAAAATCGATGTAACTTCACAGACTCGTCGATTGATTTCTCCTTCTTACGTAGAACTCGAAGCCTAACCTCAATATTGCTCACCTTATTAAACCACTTCACGCGGGAGATAGAACGCAGGCACCTATGGTCAAAGACATCTAGTCTTTTCATGTCTTACACTCTCAATGGCCAGATCTCACAGCTAGCCATAAAGGAGGACGGAGTGGACTGATGAGCAGTACACCCGCCCTTTGGTCGATAGCCGGATATCACGTTGTAAGGTAACTCTTGGAAAGTCTACTAGTGATCACTGTTGTATTCCCAGCATCATGTTTTCTAAGTGGACAGTAAACCGTCCTACTGCTTATATACTGATAACACTTCTCACCTAACTAAAATTTCATACCCTTACCTCCATTTTTGTCGTTGATCATCTGAGTAACTACTATCAGTTACGTCACAAGCCCTTATAACTCAATGATACACACTGTCATACATTATATTTAATGCGATAAATACGACTGTATAGCCCTATGAGGAAAACAATCATCGGATAAAAGTCAAGTAAATTACAAAAACCAAAAATGAAACAAACCTGTGCAACATAATTACGATATTGTGATTCTAATCGTCCTTTCTCTGTATCAGCAGACGATAGAGATAATTCAAGCTCTTTCAATCGATTCTGTAGATTAATACGCTCTGTTAACCATTCTTGTTGATGACGATAATTTTCATTCTCTATACCACCACCGGCTAGACTTTCTCCTGTATTGCCTAATTGATTAGCATATATCTGATGAAGAAGAGGAAGAGAAGAACAGAACAGAATGAAACGGAGAGAAAAAAACACCCATTGAGATCAGACTTTCTAATCCTTTAGGAATTATTTATTCAGAGCTGTTTTTCCCGTTAACTGACTGACCGACTGAGTCAGTGAGTGAGTTTCAATAGAGAACTTTGCACAAAAGTTGCCACACACTTCATGTAGCACACAAAGGTAGAGAGAAAAGAGAGGAGAGATTCAAAGGAATCATTAGGAGCATCCCAAGGACCCCCCCTCCAATCCAGTCATGCAGTCTACACTACTCTGCGTGACTAAGGTGAACTGTCAAAGACTTCAGCATAGACCTATGTGAGATTTCGGTTTGACCACACCTCCAACTTTTTTCCAACCCAACCGTGTGTCAGCTGACATTGCTCGATAGGGAAGGCAGTACGTCTCATAGCTATATCAATCCATGTAGTTTCACAAGCCCATCGATTAACTTACCCTCCTTACCTAGCGCTATTTTTCCCGTTGATATATATCGAATGAATTGACTAGTCTACATTTTGGTATATCAGCTCACCAATATAATTACGATCAGGAATTCAAACTTACTCTCGTTTGGCAGTGACTAGCAGTAGATTCCTGAATATGAGTATCATGCTGTTCGGAACATTTAGACTGCGTGTACCTGCTCCTTGAGTAAACAATGGTGTTGCCAAGAGGACTCGAACACAGTACTCATTGCTTCAAACACCATAGTGTTAGCCGTTATAAGCCACTGGTGCACGACAGCCACCTCTATTATATCGCGGGTATAATTTATAATTTACCCGTTGATATATATATATATATATATATATATATATATATAACCGAGATATATCACCCTGCAACACTGGGTCACGCGGGTTCGAATCTCAGAAGGGACATGAGTTTCTTCAAGGTTGCAGATACGCCTTCGCTAACTGGTGAATGCCAACTAGCACGAAACCTATGTCCAAGGCTTCCTGTGGCCGATCGCCTCCAACTATCAAATATCATCAAATCAATCTGCATCATGATGGCGAGCTACCTAGAATGGTGGCCATATTGCGAAACCTGACTGACTGAGAGAATTCAGTCTGCACCAAAATAAGGACTAGACACGTCACACTAGTTACTGGTGTCCAATCAAAATATATCAGCCTCATTTATGAATTACCTAAGATTCATAAATGTGACAGACCCAATTCCGTCATCAATGTACATTCTCTCCCCTCCACATACATCGGCAAGTGGTTAGTAAAAAAAACCTAAAAGCTATTCGTATAATGAATGACGTAAGTTCATTTTAAAAGATACTTTCCAACTTGTTGATGGTCTTGTATAAATGTGTAGATATCGACTCTATATTTTCAAGTATTGGTTTGTAGGGATTTGATTGATGGGTTACAGGATTTCATCATGAGCTGACATCGAGAACCACTGGAAAACCTGCAGGGAGTACCCGACAGCTGTTTCTCTTCAGTTTGGGACTCTTCATCAGTACGTGCCCACCGACAGGGTTCCGAACCCAGGACATTCTGGTTACAAGGAGAGCCAGCTCGTAGATCATTAAGCCACTGGGAACCGATCCAATGACCAGCCCATGAATTTCAACTTCTGCCAATTCACGATACAGCGCGACCCCTAGCCAATGTCTTCGGCGAGTAATTGTCCTCACACCCGACCTGCTGCACCCTACTGGTCACGAGTTCCCACTAGAACTCCACTACCTACCTGAATAGAGCCAGTCGTTAGTGAGCATCTCATCGATATTCAAGTATTGGTTTGTAGGAATTTGACTGATTGGTTACAGGATTTCATCAAACTGAAAAAACCCATTCATTTCACTTACACTTCAAACAAACATGAAGATATCTCAGTGAATAATAGTTTACTATAATACTCCTCATATAACATTACTAGAATGCATGCACACATACATAGAGATTAATAGTGATTTGTCCTGTTCTCATGACAAAACAAGAAACTATAATAATGAAATTTTTTTAAAAAGGTTGTATAAAGTCTATTTCATCTTATGCCAGATTACCAACTTGTACAGTTGATAATTAATAAACCTCAGAAACGATGAGACATATTTTGTGGGTTTAATGGCTTATGTTTTTACAAGTTGATAACGGATTGATATCAGTTAGAGAACCACTGAAAACCTAGCACTGCAGTAGTGTACAGCTGTTTCATCCTAGTTTGCGAATCATTGGCAGTACGCACCCACTCGACTTAGAATCCAGGACCTTCTGGTTACAAGGCAAGCTAGCTCGCATACCATTCAGCCACTGGAACCCGCTTCAATGGCTCATGAATTCTAACTTGCCTTGTAACCGGAAGGTCCTGGGTTCGAATCGCAGTGGGTGCGTACTGCCGATGATTCCCAAACTAGAATGAAACAGCTGTCCAGTACTCCCTGGTTTTCAATGGTTCTCTAACTTGATATCAATACGTGATCAACTCGTAAAAAGCATAACTAACCCTTACAAACCAAACTATAGAAAATTAATGGCTTATGATCCATGCTGAAAGTTCCACACTTGTACTTAAAATACGGTGTGGAATCAAGCTGTAAATCAAAATAAAAAAAATAAATAAATATGGTTTATTGTACTAAGAGCATTTGACTTTTCCCTCGGTAGATCCCGGTGAGGGTTCGAGTCCCACATTCCACTAACTTCTCCCTAGCCTGGACGACTAGACAGATAGTGTCATTATCTATCGACACATTATGTATGACTCATTCATGAGAAACTTATTCCGCGTAACTCAGTTGTAAATTGCCATACCCCCCCCCCACTTAGCTATCCACAACTCAACAAGAGTGCGTCTGGACTGACTGAATGACTGACTGGTTTCATTGTAGAACTTTGCACAGATGTGCAGCAGTTAAAGTTGCCACACTCCATGTTGCGCACAAAGCAAGAGAAGACAGTAAAAGGAGATTCAAAACAGAGATAATAAACAGAAATATGAGGCAAAAAGAATAATAATATGGAAGAAGAAGAAGTAAACAGAGGTGTGAGACAATGGGATAGTAACAACGAAGAACAAAACAGTTTTATTGGATATCATAAGTCACAGGGAGCGGATGCATCTGCACCAGCCATTGAGAACGAGGATTTCGAGCCATATCACCAATTGTCTCCAGCCGCCATTGGTTTTTACTATACCGAGGACCCCCCCCCCAACCAGTTAGGAAGTCTACACTTTCCTACATGGCTTAAACTAGCTATTTTGGATTTCATTGACTGATGAAGCCATGTTTTGGTTTGACCACCACTACAACTAGCTCTTTTCCAACCTGATCCTATGTTAGCTAACGTAGCTAACATCGAGGAAGGCGATGGCTAGGCATATGTAACACATATTTTAGCCATCTCACTCAATCGAGGTAATTTCAAAACTCGCTGATTGATTCTCCCTCTCTTACCTAGCGCACTCAACCGATGCCTAACCTCAATATTGTTCACCTGGAGCAACTGACGCATTCCAATTATTCAACAATAACATCCAAATAACGCAGAAGACAATAAACGAGAAAACAAATAGCCAATTTCATCGATAAGTTGACACTAGAACTAGACAGATAGAATTTTCTGTTCAACAACACACATCCAATAAGCATTTTTTTGTATACACATTAAAAATTTTAGCTTACCTGTGATAATTCAAGTTGTTGTTTTAATTCGTTTAGACTAATTCCCATTTGGGCTAATTCACACGATTTAGCTGTCAATCGTGAATTTGTCTCTGATAATTCATTTTCAAGATTTTGACGAGCATTTTTCTCGCGTTTCAAATCAACCTGGAGACGTTCAACCTATGATGATGATGGCAAGAATGAAAAAAACGCAAAACATAAGAATAGTTGAAACGAGCAATTTTAAACACAAATATCAATCCTAATATTACTGCTGTGCGTCAGTAGTTCACAGGTAGAATGTTAGCCAACCACACACCTGGTCTTCCGGGTTCAATTCCAGACCAACACACTCCCCAAACCTCGCTTAGCCGGAAATAAGGCCCGGTACAGAAGGAAGTTTGCTTGTGAGCAACCCAATCCCGTTGAAACGACCCTACCACCAATGAAACTTCAAAGATTAGGCTTGAAGCACCTATGTTCCACTCGAAATGCAAAGGAATAAAAAAAACTACTTGTATAAAACTGTTTACTACTTATTGATAGAGGTAAGTAGTTGTATACCACTCGAATCAATCAGAGTAGTTTCATACATTCGGTTCCCTTGATAAATTTCGATAAAGAAAGGGAGAAGAAATTCGCAGTATAAAATGATATCGTCATTCTGTTTCACAGGCTCTCATCAACTGCTGCAAACTACCTGAAATTACAATGGTTATATAGATGATAATAACAAACTTTAATGTTTAAGTGGCAGTAGAGAAGAAATACTGTAAAACTGACGCATCCAAAATGTAAGCATTACAGTTTTTACTTTAAGTTTTCATTATCAATTTATACGCTTTTAAAGACTGAAAAGGTTGACTGTTCATGATCATAGATGTCTTCGATCTCGTCACGTTAGGTGGTATAATAAGGTAAGTAATGTCGATGTTAGGCGTAGAGTGTTGGGCAAAGAGGGAAAATCAATCGAAGAGGCTATAAAGTTACATAGATTGAGATGGCTAGGTCACGTGCTGCGCATGCCTAACCATCACCTCCCCCTCCCAACGGGCATTACTGGCTGATATAGGTGCAGGTTGGAAAAGAGTAAGAAGTGGTGGTCAAAAAAAAACATGGCATCAATCCATGAAATCCTTGACAGTTAAACTGAGTCAGGTAGGGAGATGCAGACATCCAGGTTGGGGCACTCAGGACTCTAAGAATCAATGGCTCGAGACAATAGGTGACATCGCTCAAAATCGTTGTCAATGGCTTACGCAGATGTATTCAGTCTCTGTAAACTTTCATATTCTTTTCCACCATTACTCATCTGTTTCACTTGTCAAAACTTGCTCAGTGAGTTGAGATCACTGAATTAGATGACTAATTAATGTAATCAAAATCAAAATTCAGTTACCAAGGGAGGGGAGAGGTTAATCACACTCTCTTTCTGTATGCATGCATAAGTCTGGTTTAAATCGTTTGATTGCGATCGCTTCGGCAAATCGTAGTAAATTTGCTGTCCTTTATCTATTTAATATTTTGAAGGACTTAGAAATCTCTACGAGATGTCCGGTATCAACAATATGTCTGGTAATTGCACTCTCAGAATATTTGCTACCTTTTAAGCACAGGTTTCTTGGAATATCTTCAGAAAACCGGATAGAAGTCCTTCTGTCCGTCCTTCCAATGTACTTGCTCCCGCAAGTGCACGTAAATTCATAAACGCAGTTGAAGGTGACATCAACAGGGTATTTATCCAGTTTTGAGTGGATTATAGAAGAAGTGGTGCTGTATAATGCTATGCGTTTTGCTGCCAGGAAGCTTCTTTATATTGCACCTTTCAGTCTTTTGTCAATCTTTTGTAACACTGCATCTCCTTTGATTTTTGATTTTGATTACATTAATTAGTCATCTAATTCAGTGATCTCAACTCACTGAACAAATCTCAATCTTATAAACTGTAACCGCTCTTGTTTTTTGAGTTGCTACGTGAACCTAAAAGCTAACAATGTTTGTTAATTTTTTTTCCATTCTCTGTCTTATTCCTCCCCTCTCTTTTCTACTTTGAAAGCGTATAAATTGGTGATGAAAACTCAAACTAAAAATTGTAATGCTTACATTTTGGATATGTCAATTTCATAGCATCTCTTCTCTACTACAACTTGAACATTAAAGTATGTTATTATCATCTATATAACCATTGTAATTTCAGGTAGTTTGCAGCAGTTGATGAGAACCTGTGAAATAGAATGATTATATCATTTTATACTGAAAATTTCGTCTTCCTTTCTTTATCGAAATCAACCAGTAGTTCTTGCTGGCTAGCCAGATCTAGGTGATCTTATCATCACCGGACGGTCGTTACGCTCGTCTGGGGTCAAGCTCACTCGCAGCAAACCCGATTTGATTCAAATCAGAGAACCGAGTCAGTTCAGATCAACCGATTTCGCAGTAGTTCACTTGGGCAAACTGGTGTTACCATAAATCAAATTTATGGGCGGTATACAACTACTCATTTCAATCAATCAGTAGTATATAGCTTTATGCAAATATATTTGCTTACTTGATTACCATTTATTACAATATAAGGCAACAACAACACCTCTCCATTTCGTTCTATTTTTTGTTATCCTCTTCAGCTGTGCCGATGAATGTTCATAATATCTCATCTAATCCTCGTCGCACAACCTCCTACACACCATAGTAGCCAAGTCCCGACTCTTTCATTCATACTCATCATATAGAAATGTGGCTGGTTAGGTTATGCTGTCAACTTTCAAATAGTCGGTTTCAGGTGCGAGTCCCACTTCAACTACTGCTGCCTCCGCAACTGGGTCTTATCGTAAGCCATCATACAGTAACTGTGTGGTGCATAGAAAACCTGATCGCAGTAACAAGGTCTAAACATCAGTAGCAACATATACTTGATGTTGGAGAGAGAGAGAGCCCAAGGTACAATCCCGTTACTCGAAGTGATGTAGACAAAGTGCAGTTCAAATTGAAGATCTACAGTCAAATTGTAGTGATAACTGTCTGCAAGACAACAATGTTTACGTTCCAAATCTTGGTCATGAGAAAAAAAACAATAACAAAGCTGAACCTTGAGAAACTCAACAACCAATCACAAGCAGACTTGGCGTGGGCGGATATGATTCGCAGATATATGGCTTAACTTTCTAAGAAACGGTCACAAGCAGAACAGAATAACCTTCAGCAAGAAAACAACCAATCAGAAGAGGTTGCTTCTCTGCTAACAGCAACGCTAACAATAATGTACATAAAATTCTATAAATATCTCTTGATTTACTCAATAAACGATCTGTTGCCTGACCCTTGTCTTCTGACGTTACAAAATAAGTCAACTAAGCGTGCTTAACTTCAGTTTCATTGGAGAATATTCTGTTTGAAAGTTGATGGTACACAACTTGCTAACTGAGACTGAAATAGGTTGAAAGTGACTTATTATTATTATTATGTTGTTGTCTTTTTATAATTTCTTTGAGTTATGAGTCGAATATTGGGCTTAAAGCTTTCAGCTATGAAGTTGTTCATCAGCAATGGTGTTATTCTTTTGCTAGCCTCACACGTAAACTCTCCTCTCTATCTCCATCCTACTGTTGTGTGTGCTACTGACAAGATTTATCAGTAGTATATAGATACAGATATAAATATGTATACCACATCCAAGAATAACAAACAGTAGAAAAGTGGATTTAATGGCGAAGAGAAGAGATGAACGATTCTTGTGGAAATTATTGGGCAGATTGTGATTTTAATATTTGGTTGACGTATTTTGCCTATATCTATCTGTGCATCGAGTTGCCATCAAACAATTCCGTTTAAACAAATCCTCTCGTGTTCTGTCGTTAGATTATCACCGGCTAATTGATTGTGATTGTCGATAATACCAATACTGAACTACTGGAGCACCAATAGTTGGTAAATTAAAAGGTGGAAAGTATTTTCAGTTACTTAGCAAATATAACAGTTTCAGGATTTCATCATGAACTGACATCAGTTAGAGAACCATTGGAAAACCTGCAGGGAGTGCTGGATGGCTGTTTCGCCTCAGTTTGGGACTCTTCAATAGTGCGTGCCAACCGACAGGGTTCGAACTCAGGACCTTCTGGTTACAAGGCGAGCCAGCTCGTAGACCATTAAGCCACTGGGACCTGATTCAATGGCCCATGAATTCTAACTTCTGCTAATTCACGATATAGTGCAACCGCTAGCCAATGTCTTCGGCGAGTATTTGTCCTCACACCCGATCTGCTGCACCCTACTGGTCACGAATTTCCACTAGGACCCAGAATAGGGCCAGTCACTAATGAGCATCAGGTTTCAAATCCCTGCAAACCAACACTTAAACATAACAGTGTTAAGAAATATACAAACAAAAATGGCAGATTAATAATTTTCTTTTTCGAATAAAAGCTGAAAAGATGATCAAAACAATCACATATACGACTACTACTACTACTAACCTCCAATCGAAGATCATTATTTCCAGTGTGTAATTCATTTACCACAGTTTTACTTTCTGAAGCGCTACGCTCTAAATCTAAAATTTGTTGACGTGAAGATTTTAAACGAGAGGTGATTTCTTCAATTTCCTAGGATAGGTGGAGAAAACAAAAAAGTATGCTGAAATTATCCACTATATTGTTAAACTAAATTATACATGCACATCTGACAGTTAATCAATCATAAAAAGGCGCCTTGAGTGCGCGATAACTGCAAAATACAATAGTCTAAAGATTATGAGCTCATGTCAGGCGAAAATTAGAGGGGGGAAATAACAAGCCAATACTTAACTAGAGGGAGATCAATGTATCGAAACTCCCTAGAAGGTTAATCATGCCATGTATCCTCACGAAGAACAAATAACTCCAGCCAAAACAACATCAGATAACTAACTAGAGAACTTGACGTTTCGATAAACAGATCCTGAGTTCAACAACTCTGCCATCTACCACTATTTATTTATTCCCGACCGATAGCTGCTACCTTGACGTGGTGGTCGCCGGGCTTACACATAGCAATGACCCACCAACAAGCTACACTAGCTGGAACCAATGTTCCTGCACGTCCTACCATACCAGAAAGGTTGTTAGGATAACCATTGGACTAAAAGCAGTTAATGGCATTATGTAAGAATTTTTAACACTATGCTGGGGGTCTGAGGGCGAAGTCGTACTGCCACTGAGGAACAGGGATGTACCAGCAGTGAGGTGTTTCCCTCAGATGACCAGCATGCCAGCCAACTATGCTGCCTCTCCACTCCGGGAAGAAGGGATTAGGAATGGTCGACCCCAGAAATTGTACATCCCGACTTACCCCACCCAGGGTGGTCCGTAACCGGCACTAAGTTTACTAATACGGAACCAATCCCAGAAACCAGTTCATACAAGCCGTGTGTGACCGGCCTCAAGCAGTTGTCTCCAGGACTCTGTGGTCACGCAACACTAACCCTCTTTCTGCTTCAGGTACCCAAAGAATCAACCAACTTCCACGGTGTGGGCAACCGGGAAGTAACAACCGCCCGCCCACACACTTCCAAAAGCACACCACTATTTATTAGGAGTAATCAGGTAGCATTACAAACTTGTGAACATCAAAAGTGACACACATATCCAAGAGGCATGAAATTCTGTACCAGCTTATTTGAGTAAGTTACATCGCAAAGATATGAGAAATGCAAAAACACAAACATGTAACACCAAACAAACAAACAAAAATAAATAAAAAACGCAATCAATGATGAACCTACCTTCAATCTTTCTGCAGCTAAATTATCTAAATGTGCCACTTGAGATTGAAGTTCAGTTTTCTCAGCTACTAAAACTCCAATAGTTTTAGCATGTGCACGTATCTATAAAATTCAATGAAATGCATAACAAACTGTCATAACAATGTCTAAAATATTTAACTGAAGTAGACGGATATTTTATTGATTACAGGATTTCCTCATGAGCTGACATCGGTTAGAGAAGCATTGGAAAACCTGGGAGTACAAATCAATACTTGAAAATCAATGAGATGCTTACTAGAGACTGGCTCTATTCAAGTAGGTAGTTACCTAGGGTCCATAATGGATAAGATTTTATTTTGATAAATCACACAGTGTTGTACAGTTATATTAACTGATGACCACGTTTCGAGCACAAACTATTACTGCTCATAATCATATCAAGTCACTCACTCATACAACTTTTTCTTTCATTTATATAAATGTGTGGAATTGATTACATATTGGAATAAAATTCAATATGAGATAATGTACATTCAGAAATAATAGTACGAATGTTATTAATCCATTACAATTAGATGGGAAATACGACGAGTGTTTTTATAGTTATGATAAGTTATTTGTTAGAATGCTTTCATGTGTTTGAATTGAAATAGAATTTTGAGATTATTTATTATCCCCTTCTGATTTGAACGGCGGTAATAATATCTTCCATAGGGTTTTAATGAGGCGTCACAACCAGTAGGGTGCAGCACGTCAGGTGTGAAGACAAATACTCGCCAAAGACATTGGCTAGCGACCGCGCTATGTCGTGAATTGGTAGAAGTTGGGATTCATGGGCTGGCCATTGGATCAGGTCCCAGTGGCTTAATGGTCTACGAGCTGGCTCGCGTTATAAGCAGAAGGTCCTGAGTTCGAACCTTGTCGTGGGTGCGTACCGACGAAGACTGCAAGACTAGGACGAGACAGCTGTCCAGTACTCCCTGAAGGTTTTCCAATGGTCCTATAACCGATGTCAGCTCATGATGAAATCGTGTAACAAATCAATCAAATCCCTACAAACCAAGACGAGTATGAAATTGTGGTTCAATGGTCAAAACGTCCGACTTCTAATCACTGGCTCACGGGTACGAACCCCACGCGATCCACTAAGGTTTAGCCAGCCCTCCCTAACACCATAGGTATAGTTGACTGCTGATATCAATGAAATACAAGTGATCGCTGAGTAATGTTCGTCGTTTTTTAATAATATGACGTGTGTAGCTGACAAGATTTACCAGTAGTATATAAAAGCAGATTGATAAGAAGCAGCCGAAATTGGAACAAACTTTTCAGTGAATGGCTAACTGCAGAGGTGGAAGTGTTTATTCCTGAAAATCTGGATGTAGTTTACGTTATGATGGGGGAAATAATCTCATTGGACAACTTTTCATCTCAAGGTGTAACCTTCGGAAAAAATCGACAACCAATCAGAACAGTTTATTATCCGCAGACCTTTAAAGTAGTTAAAATTGTATAAATATGGTATGGTTTTCTTTAATAAAAAGAGTCCGTTATCAAGTCTCTTGTCTTCTCTCGTTACAATAACCTGAATATTCACCCATTTTAAGATAAAAATAGATTTTCAGTTCACGTAATTATTTAGCATTTGGTTGTGACCGTCGTCCCTATAATATATGTTGATTAAATAATCACTACTGTCCATTTATTATTATTTTTAATCCCACTGGCTAACAGGAAAACGCTTTATTGAAACCCAAAAATCTGCATTCACCTAAAGGTAGTATTGTGGTGAGAGCTGGCTGCACAAGCCGAAATTGCAGACAGCAATTTACGCCAATGTTTACGTCCCAAATCAGGGTCATGAGAAAAAACAATAACAAAGCTTAACCTTGAGGAACTCAACAACCAATCACAGCAGACTTGGCGTGGGCGGATATGATTCGCAGATATATGGCTTAACTTTCTGAGAAACGGTTACAAGCAGTACAGAATAACCTTCAGCAAGAAAAACAGCCAATCAGAAGACACTGCTTCTCTGCTGACAATAATGTACATAAAAATCTATAAATATCTATTGATTTTCTCAATAAACGATCTGTTGCCTGACCCTTGTCTTCTGTCATTACAGTATCAGTTAACAGTGAATAAAGTGAAGCCATAAGAGGAATTTTACAAGGCTAAGGATTTACAGGTGTTAGCAATAGAGGTTTACAATATTGAAGGCGATATCTGCAAATAAAGAGTCTCGATGGCAAATAATACATTATTATACCAAGACATTCAGTTCATTTTTACTCCAGAACATGAACAATATTCAAGTATTGATTTGCGGGGATTTGATTGATTTCAGATTTGATCACAAACTGACTTCATTTAGAGAACTATTGAAAAAGGCGTCATGGAGTACTAGACTCAAAAGTTAGTCCAGTACACCCTAATGACTTACTCAAGGACGAAGTCCCGTGAGGACGGATACTAGACAACATGACATTGGCTGATGGTTACGGTATATATCTCTGATGGGCTATTGGATATTTCTTCCTGATTGTCAGTCAGCCACCTCACCTTGTAGCCTGGAGGTACTGGCCTCAGTGCCTGATGGGGTAGTTGGCGCGTACTGATGAAGAGTCCCAAACCAGGACGAAACAGTTGTCCAGTACTCTCCAGTTCTTAATAGTTCTTTAACTGAAGTCATCTTGTGATCAAACTTGATTGTCACAATAAATAATGACCAATGCTTTTGTATCGAAGTTAACTCATATAGCTACACCAACCCTTTGATTACAGATTTCCCCTCTTACAAATGATACCAACCAGTAGATAAAAAACTATCATCTGATCGTCAACCAAACATCAGTCACACTTCCCGAATCATTCACAATCAGTATTAGAGGACAGTAATTCAAAAACACAAACATCAGCAGAGCTACCTACTTCATTAGCCTAATCATTTGCCGGAATTACACAACGTTTTTGATTGGTACATAACGGAAACTACCTCCTCACTGCTGTTAATACGTTTCGAACGCTGATGAATTGAAGACGTATGGTACATACAGTTACTGAGAGGTGTGAAGAAGCTAGCTACCTTTAATGTGATATTAGGTTAGGAGGGAAAGCCAATTGATGAGGCTATGAAGCTACAGAGATTGAGACGGTAAGGACACGACGTGTTACTCATGCCGAGCCCTCATCTTTGGCGTCGAAAAATGCTGTCTGACATAGGATCAGGTTGGAAAAGGAGCTATAGATGGTCAAATGAAAAAAAATGGCATCAAAGAACCAAGTAGTCTTTGACAGTTTTGGTTTGAATGACATAAAGAGGTGTAGAGCGCCTGCCTAGATGGGGTTCACGAGGCGCTAAGAATCAATGGTCAGAAAATGTCGGTGACATGGCTCAGAATCGATCTCAATTCAATCACAATTTGCTACACTAAGCTAAAATCAAAAAAGATTATCTTGAAAAAAGTGAATTCAACACTAATTAAATGCATAAAGCGCTTATTGTATCAGTAACCTAGGTAACATTTAAAGTTTAAAAAAAAAGCAAATCAATAACAATGGAGTATTTCTAGTTTTCGACGAGAATTACACATTGTATAACAAAAAAGAGAGAGTGCACCTAAATTCACTATATGGATAGACGTGTGATTTCACATGATTCCGTTAAGCTAAAGGATTATGACTAAAAATCAATTATTAGATAGTATGCAAAATTAACACCCCTCAATTAATTTAAAGTAGGGTCAGATTAAAAGAAAGCAAATACTACACTAATCTATAAAGGTCTTCATTGTGGATTACAACCAGTTAGAGACCTGTAAGCTATCTGATCACATGCGCTGAGAAGACTATCAAGTGATATCGTCAAGAGGAACCTGAATGAGAAGCGTTCGAAGGTGACACGGAGGACATTGCGTGAGGAAGATATAAAAGCATTGTGAGCAGAGTAGTGGAGTCAGTTGAAGGGAACGGCAGAGAACTGAGTGCAAGGCCCTATGTTCCCCTTTGGAACACAAGGCATGAGTAATAACAGTAATAATATAATAACAAGCCTCCAAAGCCTCAGGATGGTCGGGTGTGGGTGCCTTGCGCTGCGGGTTGGTCACCCCTCCGCACACCTCTTGAAATCCTCCCATATGACCGGGCGTCTTACATAGCCTCTCCTGAGGAAGTCCTACTCACTGCCTTCACGTGGCGGAGGTGTTTTTCACCAAAGTGAGAGGGCGAAAGCGGATGCCCGGCGCTCTTCACCGGGTTGACTGTCCATTGGATGACAGTCTAGGGGAGATGGCTAAACCCTGATTCCAAACCTCCAACGACTGGTGTATGAAGCTCACTGGAGCTCACCGGCAGACGTATAGACATAGGGCTTGTTGGATGTCCTGGATGTCTGGCCCCATTCAAAAAGACGTATGAACCGAACTCTGGTCACCGGCTGCCAATGGATAGTGGACTCCCTACTCCACTCCTACTGCCTTGTAGGTCACACTTGGTTGTGTAAAGGCTAGAGCTGCACTCTCAAACAAAAGGCCGAGCGATTCTGGGGACATCACTCGTAACAAATTCCCATGAAACTTCATGAACTCTCTTGCAAACGATTCGAGATGTTCATGAAGCCGGCTCATCCTCCCGTAGGAGATAGCCGAAGTAAAGTAAAAAGTAAATCCGACCACAGGACTATCGACATGTCAAGCGTCGATGTTAATAAAACTGTTATGAAGTTGCCACTTTTATACTTTGCAGCATAAAAAGTAACGCTGAACTGAATAGCAACACCGATAATGGACATGGACGAGGTGACCACGCAATTGCTAGGCTATGCCAACAACATAATACGACACATACCTGCCTCCCCCCTCCAATCCACTCTACTTAAGCCAGAACACACGACAAAATGAGAGGGAAACTATGTTTCAGTATCAGTATATTTATAAGAGCAAATGATGTATATACATTACATATATGTCCAATGACGTAAGTGTGAGAGATATCCATAAAAAGATGTATTACCATCTATGGTTTACTCCCAGACTGCCCATGATCACACCACAACAAGCACTCAAAGTCAGTTGCAAGAATACAAATGTATTGTATTCACTCTTCGCATCATCTGTAGAATTTACAATCTTTTTACAAACTTTCATTTGGTTATTCTGTTCCGCACGATAACCATAACTGTTTTATTAGTAGTATAAACCTACTGCCTATCCGTGTTAAACTCAATCACCTCTAATCTAAAAGATATTACCTATCGGTCACATGTTCAGACCGAACTCCACCATCTATTTCAACCTAAGCGGTTGTACAGATTAAAAAGTCCTCACATGCTAAGTGTACTTAATAACACAATACAAAAACTGTATAGGACTATTGATATGTACTTGTAACGACAGAAGACAAGGGCCAGGCAACAGACCCTTTGTTGAGAAAATCAACAGATATTAATATACATTATGTACATTATTATTCGTTCATGTTAGCAGAGAAGCAACGTTTCCTGATTGGTTGTTTTCCTGCTGAAGGTTATTCTGTCATCTGTTTGTTGCCGTTTCTTAGACAGTCCACTGATACACATCTGCTAACCGTACCTGCCCACGCTAAGTCTGCAGTGATTGGTTGTTGAGTTAGTGTCTTTGTTCTTGTTTTTTTTCTCAAGGCCAAGATTTGGGACGTAAACATTGACGTGAATTGCTGTCTACCAATTTTGGCTAGCGAACAGCTCTCACCACATACTGACTAAATATTCAATTTAAGCATTACACCAGGGTATAATACCTGCCTATATGATAAAATAAAAAGACTAGAAGTCAAGATTGAAACAACAGCTAGTTGTTTAATTGATACATCGAAGGAAATGCGGCATTCCAGCTCCTATTTTTATTTTATTCCCTATGATTCTTAGAATTATATAATTGAATGGGGAATATCCATCCTTACTCACAATAGCAGCACGACTGAAATTAAAGACAGAGTAGGATGTACTATACAATATACTGTATAACAACGAAAAGGTATATTGATTATAAAAGATGTGTGTCAACTAAACGCTACTAAAACCTCTCTCCTGAACCACAATAGACACATGAATGTCAACCTTTGGGCATCATCCAAGTGCCGACTGTACTAGCAGCCAACATATCAACAGCGACCGAACACTCCAGTCCAAAGGAAATTAACCAATGGAAAGCACAAAATAAACAAATAAGAACTAATACCCGTTGAGCATGAGGTAACACTCCTGGCTCAGTAGCCTAGTAGATAACGCTCTTGAGACTGAAATGATGGATACTAGGTATGATTCTCATTGAAAATAACATCATTCACTTAGGACACAGATGCATTCAGACGACGAGTCCCGAGTGGGACGAAACTCAGTTAACACAAACAATGTAAGTTTTAATAGAAACACATCATCCATCTATAACTCTAAAAACTTGGCCTTACATTCTTCATATGGTAGTACCACTGTATCTGACGTCTACAACGACACAGACTTACTCTCAACCAACACGACACCTAAAGGTAGTGAGTTCAATGCTCTTGGACTATACATGTCTTTCAACTATGGAATTTTTTAAAGATAAGATCAACAGAATATAATAACACAGAAAAAATCTCCATTTAGACATTTAGAAAGCAAAAGGGTTTAGCGAAGAAAAATTTACTCCAAAAGAAGCTCTCATTCATAAAACTGCATTTTTCTTAGTGATAACATCAGCAAAATAGTAACACAGTGCCTGAACAATGCAGTTAAAAGAGCTTTCAATGCAGCAGAGGTACGTTGTCTCTTCACTACTACCCCTAATTTACGTTTGAGAAATAAGGACAAACTACCTAATTTTACCACCTCTATGTGTATCGATCAGTTTGACTGCAGCTGCGGAGCCAGCTACATTGGGCGTACATCATCCTGCATGGTTAAGTAAGAGACAAACAAGATCTATTCGTAGGTAGCTCTGCTTTAGCACACCTTGTAGACAGTGAGCATAAAGTTGATGTTAATACAGCATTTACAGTTATTTATCGCATTCCAACTAATCTTAATTTCGCTTTACCAGTTCGTCTTCTACATACAGCTGAAGCCATAGGAATCCACCTGAAGAAGTCAAATCTGTGTGTTCAGAACAAAAATTCGTACAGCCACTTTCCTTACCTTGGCCGTCGTTACATGAATGTATAAACCTGACTACTTCGCCTTCCCCTGAACCTTTTAAAAATTATAGTTGTCCAAATTATTTTATTTTTTTCTGACTACTTCATCCATAATTAATAATTACAAGCTACCATTGTCCAAACTGTTTCATTTTCCCTAACTGTCTGTTACATAATCAACTTGAACACTCGTATATTACTTAATTACTCTTTTTTTTCTAAATTATGTAATCCACTTGTCGTAACCACTCCTACCCTTTAAATGAGTGTACTAATTTCCTTCGTTAATTATCACCCACTTAATATGTTGATACTAACTCATTATCGTTTACAAACACACCACCACTTGGTTACAAGATTTCATCATGAGCTGACATCGGTTAGAGAGCCACCGGAAAACCATCTAGGAGTACTGGACAGCTGCTTCGTCCTAGCTTGAGACTCTTCATCAGTACGCACCCACACCGCGGTGTTCGAAACCAAGACCTTCCGGTTACAAGGCGAGCTCTCCTTGAAACCAATCAGGAAAAGAGCCACTGGTGGTCACACCAAAACATGGCTTCATAAGTCATTGAAAACCACAACAGTTAGTTTAAACCAGCCACGTAGGAAGGTTCGGGTCCTCGGGACGGTAAGACCCGATGAAGGTTGGAGACAATTGGTGATATGGCTCAAAATCGTTCTCAATGGCTGGCGCAGATGCATCCACTCCTTGTGACTTATAATACCCAATAAAACTATGTTGTTTTTCGATATTACTATTCCTTTTGACTCATATCTCTGTTTACTGTCTCTATTTTGCGTTTCTTTTTTACTTTCTTCTCTGGCTTTGTGTGCTAAGTGAAGTGTGGTGACTCGAAGTGCTGCACATCGGTGCAAAGTTCTACGTTGAGACAGCAGTCAGTCAGTCAGCACCCACACCGCGGGGTTCGAACCCAAGACTTTCCGGTTACAAGGCGAGCTCTCCTTGAAACTAATCAAATCCCTGCAAACCGACACTTGAATGCCGCCACTTGATTGGTAAAATGTTATGCATTGTAGCAAAAATGCTATATACACATTAGACTAGAGCCAGAGATGAGAATCTAAATGAAAAGTAAATATTTCTTCGCTCAATCAATCCGTTCGCTTTCTAAAATACAATAAAGTCAAATCGACAAACTAACTAACTAACTAACTTGTTCTTTAGTTTTTTCTAAATCACGTTGTGAACTATTCTGTAACGTTGTACGTTCATTAGCCAAATCGTTGAATCGACGCTCATATTGTTCTTTCATTGAATCGAGTTTAACTTGTAAACGTTCAAAAGCACGATTACGTTTCTCCAGCATTGAAGCTAATTCAACATTTCTTTCCTATTGAGAAAATAAAAAAATAAAAATAAAAACATGCACATGATTAAGCCTTACTTACCTTTAATTCTATGCGTAAATATAAACATGTATACAGAAAATCAATGAAAACAGATCAAATACTCAACTATAAAACAGCAATAATCCAAGGACTGACAAAAGAAACTGTCTGTAGACCTTAGACGTTAATTTGTTGGATGGTGGCTGACTAGCAGTGGAATCTAGGATGCGCATTTCGTCCTGTTCGGGACTCGTCTGCCAGCTGGATGTACCTGCATTCCCCAGTGAGTGAGTGATGCTGTTCCCACAGAGGTTCGAACCCCTTGCCCATAGTTTCAAACGCCAAAGCGTTATCCACTAGACCACTTGGGCCACGAGAGCCACTTCTTGTGCAACGGATCATATTAATTATTTAATTGAATTTTAGATTTTCCCGTCGATTGATTGGACCGATTGGACTCACTGCGGAATGCAGGTACATCCAGCTGGCAGACGAGTCCGAAATAGGACAAAATGCGCATCCTGGTTTCCACTGCTAGTCACCATCCATCAAGTTAACCTCTGATTAGATGCCTAGACATCGTCGAAGCATCTGCACAAGAAGCCGAGAAGGAGTCAACCTGAGACCGAGCACTTCGGTCTAATCAATCGACGGGAAAATCTAAAATTCAGTCTGTAGACATTGTTTAAAAGAGTTCAAACACACTGCAGCACTCTGGTGCTGAAGAGAATGGAAGAGAAACACCTACTACCCATATTCAATGAGAATGGGTATCCTCACAATTTCATCGAAAAGTGTTTAAACTCGAGTCAAAACACCAACAACAAGCCAACACATCAAGTTTCCATAACAGTTTGTTGCTTCATTTCATTTATTGTGTGAGGGCTGGAATATTAAGACTTTTTCAAAACCAGCAAAAATGACTTTATTCGATATTATGCAGACGAAAAGAACCAACAGAAAACCGAGGAAGATAAGATCAACACCATTTACAAAATAGATTGCATGGACTGTGATAAACACTACACCAGTCAAAGTGGGCGTCTCCTTCGACTCAGAATCCAAAAACATAAATTAGCTGTGAAAATGCACGATTGTGTGCATTCTTTCATATCGATGCCTGTAGATAATTATGGACACCAATTTGATGAATGTGTGCGTCGGAGGCATAGCGATTAGGACGCTCGCCGACCATGCACATGGTCCGGGGTTCGATCCCCAGCCGACGCACTCCTTTACCTCGCTAAGCCAGAAATAATGCTGGTGAAGAGGGAAGGTTGGGCACGAGGCTAGCAACCCCATCCTGTAAAATAAACACTTCAAGCCCTATATTCCACTGGGGAACGTGAAGGAAAAAAAAATTTGATGAATGGGAGAATGTAGAAATTTTAAACAGAGGAAACACCAAAAATACTGTCAGGGAATTTCTAGAAGCCTGGTACTCAGAAAAATCAGCGATTAACAAACATATTACTACAGACAAACTCTACCAAATAATCAAAAATAAAAACCATAACAAAGAAGTTCAGACTTCAAATCAATAAAAATGATCAATAGAGATGTAAATTAACAACCAATCACGACAACGGCTGCCAGGAGATACAATTATGTCATCATTTATGGAGAATTCATATAAGTTCATATATATATAATTGTGGTGGACTGGATTATGCGTCAGACAGTGGGAAACGAGAAGACAGGGATATCCTGGACCGACGTGAAGAATCTAGAAGACCTGGATTTCGCGTATGGATGACTTATGTTTGATGTCACACAAAATCGAAGACTTACAAGCGAAAACCGACAAACTGGTCGAAGAAGCAGGCAGTGAAGACAGGACTCCAGGTGAACATAGACAAGACGGAGGTTATGAAAATAACCAACCAACAACAACGACAGCATCAGCAACATCCAGCGCCAATCACCATCAACGGGAGGGATTTGAAAGAGGTTACTTCATTCACTTATCTAGGGAGCATTGTCTCAACTACAGGAGGAACAGATGAGGATGTCAAATTGAGAATCGGGAAGGCGAGAAACACATTCATCAACCTGAAACCAATCTGGAAATCTTCGTCACTCAACTCAGCCTGCATCAACAACAAAATTCGGATTTTCAATACAAACGACGTCAAGTCAGTTCTTCTATACGGATGGATCAGAAACTTGGCCAGTGTGTCACAAAGAATATTTCCAACAGCCTGTTGCAGACCTTTATCAACAACTAACTGTCTTTGCTCTATACTGAAGATCAGATGGCTGGAAAGAACCACCAACAAGAAACTATGGGAACAAACAAAACAAGAACCAATCGCTCAACAAATATGCAGGAGAAAGTGGAGATGGACTGGACACTCGCTGAGTAGGCCGCTGGGTGACATGGAGGAGATCGTGTGAGGAAGAGTTGAAACAGTATGGATTAACATGGATTCAGGTGAAAAGTACAGCAGAAGACAGAAGCAAGTGGAGACGTGCAGTTGAAGCCCAAGGGAACAATAATAATAATAATAACATATAAGTTCATTTCATACTAAAACTTGCGCTGAAGATGTTGTCTAGATAGCTGACAACGAAAGCTTCACAATTAAACCAACCAGCTGAGAGAACACAACTATATCAAAAACTAAGCCTCTCTCTCCTTCACTGTCAGAGGAGATTGAAATTCATATGTACGACCCAAATTTACCAATTAGCAAAAGTGTATAGAACCACATTGTCTGGAAATATGTGGGTAGCCACCCCAATGAATTCCCAGCTGGCTGGCTTACTAGTTTACAGGAGTTCTTTACGACACCCTATCGAAAAATAATATAACTCATATAGTTTTCATAATAAATCGACAACAGTCAGAAAAAACACCAAACGTTGGTTTCGTGAGTCATTAGTATCGCCTGCCTATAACTCCAGACAAAATCATATCCTAAAACGTGCCGAGATTGGGTGGTAGGCAGCAACTGAATGACTCGTGTTCTCTAAGTTTCACTGATTTGTAAAAAAACACGGTTACCCGTCCCCCCTTACACACACACACACACCTCAATGAATGCTTTAATTCTATAGTACAACTACCTCGTATTCCGACCAGTATCAATCAAAAATGGTTTTCATTACCAAAAGATAACTCACCTCAAGTTCTCTAACTAAAGAATTTTGTCCAGTACACACCTGGGATGATTGTCCAGACATATACGAATTCGGTGTTGAACGTAAAAACTCCTTCTGGTGTTGTTGTTGTTGCTGCTGCTGTTGCTCATAAGACTCAACCATTCGATGATTCTGTTGACTGGACAACTCGGGATAACTATATGACTCTAGTAAACTTGACGGTGAAGATAGTATCCTGTTGTTACCAGTACGAAATGAAGAATATTCATTCATCAGAGGACTAGTAGCGCCGGATGTATGCAATGAAGTTAAACGTTCTGATGTCTCTAATATACCATCCAACTGACGAGTTAATTGTAAAAGTTTTTCGGTTGTCGCTGTAGGCCTTCATCATCAAATACATAGGAATAAATGTAAAAATTATGAGTTCAGCTAAGAAAAAAAACCTTATTGTTAGAACACAGCTACTCAAAACAGACTGCTAATGCATCAGACTATTCAGTTGACCAACGAAAGTGTATGGAGTAGTAGTGGGTTTCGAACCTGGAAACCATTGGCTGAAAGTCAACTGCTTCAGCCAATAATCCATATCTCCAGTGAAGTTTTTAGTTTAATACATTGATATGAACAATATCTTAGTAGTAACACTGAAGGCTGAACAAAGAACTCGCATATTCAAGTATTCGTTTGTAGGGATTTGATTGATTGGTTACAAGATTTCACCATGAGCTGCAGACATTGGTTAGAGAACCACTGGAAAACCAGCAGGGAGCATTGGACGGCTGTTTCGTCCTAGTGCTTGGGTCTCTTCATCAGTACGCACCCACCGAGGCTCGAACTCACGACCTTCCGGTTAAGCCACTAGGACGCGATCCAATGGCCAACCCAAGAATTCCAACTTCTGTCAATTCACGACTAGTGGTGTTGGCTAGTAGTCGCGCTGTGTCGTGAATTGGCAGAAGTTGGAATTCACGGACACTGTCCATTGGATCGGATCCCAGTGGTTTAATGGTATACAAGCTGGCTCGCCTGGTAACCAGAAGGTCCTAGGTTCGAAACCCGGTGGATAGGTGCATACTAATGAAGAGTACCAAGCACTAGCGCGAAACAGCTGTCCACTACTCCCATATGGTTTTCCAGTGGTTCTCTAACCAATATCAGCTCATGATGAAATCCTGTAACGAATTCGGATATCATATCACATTTTCACTTTACAAACAAATCCATGATAAAGTCGCATACTATGATACATGTATTTATATTCAAATACACAAAGTGAATAATCCATTCAACAAGTTCTTTCCATATTTTCAACTAGATGGCGGGGATGTGCCCTGTTGGTACAAGCAATCGACTTCCAGATGTGGATGGGTGTCGGTCTCAAGTTCTCCTCCATACACTTCAGCTCGGCAGCTGCGTAGTATTATCAAACCTCACAACACCGCAGATGTGGCTTTTAGCCTGGTACACCAAAAATCAGTCCCGCGTGACTGAGTCACAACAACTTCTTCAATTTATTAAAAAGGTCATGTATTTCATTGACGTTATAGACAAGAAGTAGTAGTTTCTTTACTGGAAATATTCGGAATGTAAACATCAATCAAAAGATGATTTACTACAGTTTAAGATAATACGATTATATCTATAATACTCCATAAACTGTTCATTTACCAAACTATACTGTGAAGATAACTAAAATGATGTAAAAAACATCTATGGACGAAATAGTCACCACCAATAGGTCGAATAATTTTGGCAATGAATAAAGCAATTATAATGCAATTTTAGATTCTCCCGTAGATTGTTTTTTCCATCACGTTCCACAGTGGAACATAGGGCTTCAAGCTAGTGGCTTGAAGTTTCTGTAGCAGTGCTTATTTTTACGGGATGGGGTTGCTAGCCTCATGCCCAACCTCCCCTCTTTACCAGCATTATTTCTGGCTCAGTGAGGTAAAGGAGTGCGTCGGCCGGGGATCGAACCCCGGACCATGTGCATGGTCGGCGAGCGTCCTAACCGCTATACCACCGACGCACAAAGAGTGCGCCGGCCGAGGATCGAACCCCGGACCATGTGCATGGTTGGCGAGCGTCCTAACCGCTATGCGACCGACGCCCGTAGATTCATTGGACCGAACTGCTCGGTCTCAGGTTGACATGTCGGCTACTTCTGTAGATGCTTCGACGATGTCTAGTCATGTAACTTGAGGTCAATTGGTAGTTGGTGACTAGCAGTGGAATCTAGGATGCGCAATTCGTCCTATTTAAGACTCGTCTAGCAGCTGGATGCACCTGCATTCCCCAGTGAGTAAGTGATGCTGTTCCCACCGAGGCTCGAACCCAGTGCCCATCGTTTCAAACGCCAAAGCGTTATCCACTTGACTACTTGGGCCACGAGAGCCACCTCTTGACTTCAAGTGAATAAAGCAGTTTAATAAACATGCTTAACCATAGGTTACAACAAAAATTCTAAACATACTTGACTATTGAGATAAGATATAGCACATTGGCTTTGCCATTTGACTTTCTCACATACAAGCTGTAGTTTGTTAGTCCATGAACTCAACTTCCAACCAATGGGTGACGGTTTGAATCCCGTCCTGGCTACCAGAGTTTGAGCAACCAGTTAGTATTACTAGCCTTATTACTGCAATCTGCATGGTAATGTAAGTGATTGCTGAGTAACATCTTTTTCACACAACGCATTCCAATGGTTTCGCATATTTCAGCTTACACAAATAAATAGCATTATCGGTCTTTACACAATAACAGTAGTTTATGTTCCAAGTAAATAGGCATTAACTGAATAAACAAGAAACCTACACCCTAAATAAAGTTCCCTGTTCAACTGAATAAAATTCGTGTCCATCAAATTCAAGAGAACAAATCCCTATTATCTTTTCTACCATATTGATCTCGCATTGATGATGTTTACATTTCGTCTTGACTTCCTTCAATAATAATAATAAGCTTCACCAATCACAGGAACAGGTTTGGTCACGAGCGGACATCAGTTAGAGAACCATCAGGAAACCAGAGAGTACTGGACAGCTGTTTCGCCCTAGTTCAAGATTCTCCATCAGTGCACAACCACCGGGGGGGTTCGAACCCTGATCACAAGGCGAGCAGCTCGTAAACCAACCAGCCACTGGGACCCCGGTCCAATGGCCAGCCCATGAACTCCAACTTCTGTCAATTCACAATATATAGCGCAGCCACTAGCTAGTGTCGTAGGTGACTAACAGTTCTTACAACCCCGGCAGTCCACTGGTCACAACTTTTCACCATAACTCCAGATGACTTCCACAACAACAACAAAAAACGCCAGTCACTAGTGAGCATCAGACACTCACATGTCAGCCAGTGGTCGAACCTGTAACCAGCACTTTAAAAAAAAACACAGAAACATTAAGAGTATTAACCGAGAGAGAGAAAAAAACAAGCGCATAATACCGTCCAGAGAAAAAACAACTCTTACATATTATCTACAGTTACTTTGTCATCAATTTCAGATTCCAAATGAGATTCTTCTTTAGTAGTAGTAGTAGTAGTAGTAGTAGTAGCAATATCGTCATTAGTAGAAATATTTACATCATAAGGCATAGATGAAAAAGTATTCTGATATACTCCTGGACATACAACAGAAGAAGACGAAGTAGTAGTGGTAGCGGCAGGACAACCATCCGACGTTATCTGATTTTGATCACTTAAATCGAGTGGATTACAACAAGTAGATACATTTAACTCGACTGGATGCGGGGGCGGCGGTGGTGGTGGTATTGTTTGGTGCATATTTCTATTCGACGGTATTTGAAATGCAGATGATGCTAATGATGATGATAATGGTGATGAGGTAGGCGAGGATAAGATCTGATTATCAGTGAGATTTGCAACGGGTGTATAATAGTCACCACTGGAAACACCACCGGAAACGCCATTATCATAGTGAGAAACAACAACAAAGGTAGAAGAAGTCGGGGGAGGAGGAGCAGGAGCAGGGGTAGCATAATTACTGCTAGGAACAAATGGTACTGATGCTTGTGCTGGCGGCGGTATTGGCGGTTGAAGAGTAGGAGGAGCAGGGCAATAGTAATAATTGTTTGGATTGTTAAAGTAACTCGCCAGTGAATTAGACGTAGTATTATTATACTCCGCTGGGACACTCGACATATCATACTGAGGTTGCTGAGGTTGATATATTTCAGAATTTGCATAATATCCTGTATTTGTTACACTTGGTAAGTTATAGTGTTGCTGATATTGCCCCGGTTGTCCTTGACTGAATTGACTGTTATCAGATGGTAACCTGGAAGAGAGAGGATGTATAAAGGGGCCTGAACATGTTATCGACATATGACCAGTAGATTGCTTAGGATACAATCAATTCATCGTCTTAAGTGTTCAGTATTCAGTTAAAAGGATGATTAGATTCGAACTACTTTTTATGACTGTTTTTGATCATAGATGTTTACGATCTCTTTCTCACGTTAGGTGGCTTAATAAGGTAAGTAATGTTGACGTCAGGCGTAGAGTGTCGGGCAAAGAGGGAAAATCAATCGACGAGGCTATAAAGTTACATAGATTGAGATGGCTAGGTCACGTGCTGCGCATGCCTAAACATCGCCTCCCCCGACTGACGGGCATTACTAGCTGATATAGGTGCAGGTTGGAAAAGAGTAAGTGGTGGCCTTGACAGTTAAACTGAGTCAGGTAGGGAGATGCAGACTTCCAGGTTGGGGCCCGCCCTCGGGACTCTAAGAATCAATGGCTCGAGACAATAGGTGACATGGCTCAAAATCGTTCTCAATGGCTTACGCAGATGTATTCAGTCTCTTTAACCTTCATATTCTTTTCTACTATTACTCATTCTGTCTCACTCTTATACTTGTCAAAACTCTACTGATTCTCTTCACTCATCTTCTTGTCTACCTTTGTGTGCTATTTGGAACGTGGCAACTCGAACTGCTGCACTTCGGTGCCAAGTGTTACGGTGAATCCAGACAGACACAGATACTGACAGTCAGCTAATATCTGGTTATGTACACAGATCTGCATGCAACCATTGCTCACAAATCGCACTAAGCACAGCCTTGCTAAATACTTACAGAATACGTCAATAAAGCTGTCAACAAGCACACAAACATAATCCCATCATCAGTAAACTCGCCAAAAGCATCAAATTGACTGAAACGCGGTATAAATTTCCTAATGATGTGATTTGTGTCTATGCACATTGTAGTTTGAAGTTTTTGCCTACGACATTCTATAAGATACACTAACTAACCCCCAATGATGAAATGTGCTTCATGAGCACATGTGCAATTTGCATGTCTCTCTAGAGATTGTTGCCACGAGAGTCTTTCAAGATAAAATCAAAAGTTTATCGTCTGTCTGTTTTCGACATAGAACTTTGCACCGATGTGCGGCAGTTCAAGGTGCCACACTCCATGTAGCACACAGAGCAAGAGAAGAAAGTAGGAGAAATGCATATTAGAGACAGTAAACAGAAGTGTGAGGTAAGAAGGAATAGTGATAACGAAGAACAATATAGTCTCATTGGAAATTATAAGTCACAATGAGTGGATGCATCGGCCCTAACTACTGAGAACGACTTTCAGCCATATCACCAATTGTCTCCAACGCCCATTGGTTCTTACCGTCCCGAGGACTCCAACCAGCCAGGAAGTCTACACCTACCTACGTGACTGGCTTGAACTAACTGTTGTGGATTTCATTGACTGATGAAGCCATGTTTTCGTTTGACCGCCGCTAGCTCTTTTCCAGCCTGACCCTATGTCAGCTAACATTGTCCGTCGAGGAGGGCATACGTAACACATGTCCTAACCATCTCACTCAATCAATGTAACTTCACAGACTCGTCGATTGATTTCCCCTCCTTATCTAGCACTCGACCGATGCCTAACCTCAATATTGCTCACCTTATTATACCACTTCACACGGGAGATAGAACGCAAACACCTATGATCAAAGACAGCTAGTCTTTTCATGTCTACCACTCTCAATGGTCAGGTCTCGATCACAGCCATAAAGGAGGATGGGGAGGATTGCTGAGCAGTACACCCGCCCTTTGGTCGATAGCCGGATATCACGTCTACGCCAGAGATGGCGTAAACTGGCATTTGTGAAACTAGCCCTCTGTATCCGTGCTGAGATTTCGTCAGAGATCAACCCGTTGGGGCTGACACAACTTCCCAAATAAGAGAAGCGGTCAACGTGCTCTACCACTTCACTCCCTATTTCTAAACTAGGAGTAAATGTAGTCCAGACCTGTGGCATCATCTTACATTTGACGGGAGCGAATCACATGCCAAACATTCGCAGATCGCTACTCCTCAAGGTGTTCAGAAGACTGTGCATTTTGTCAGCGTCTTCACCTAGAAGGACTATATCATCTAAATATTCTAAGTCAACGAGATTATTCCCTGGTAAAAATGTCAATTCCTGAGTCTCTGAAGTGAGTTAGGGTTAAGTCCATTAGTAAGTCTATGATGAAATTGAATAGAAATGGGAATAATGGGCATCCTTGACGGACGCCACTAGTCGTCACCGCTTCAGATGACAACTCGCCGTGAGCTCTCACCTGGCTGCATGAGTTCGAGTAGAGTGCCTTAACCAGTGCGATGTATTTCCTCGGCATTGCCTTCCCAGCTAAGCATCACCATAGTACCTCTAGGTCGACAGAATCGAATGCCGCCTTTAGGTCAAGAAATATAATGTTTGTTGGACGGTAAGAATACCTATGTTTATATTGAGCTAAAACATTACTACAGCTGTCTACTAATCAGTAAGCACATACAGTCCGGATACCAGGGAATCAAAGATAAACCTTGAAAGAAAAGTCTTGATGAAATATGGATATCTATCTACCTTGGTTTACGGAGAAAAAATTTCAAGTTAAAACCTGTGAAGTGCACCTTTCTTGTTACACACAACGAAATTATGCTGGTAAACATTGATTTCAAAGGTGATCTACCTGTTGACGCGCTGATAAGAAAGATCTCAAACTAAATTTTGAAAAAATCTTCTTTGCAAGGATGCTGAGATTAGTGTTCTCTGATCGACCATAATTAGAAGGGCAAGATCTCACAAATGGTTACTACAGTGTGTGTACATACCAGTTCACTAAGCATATCAATTTCTCGCTGAGCACTCTATCCTAATTGATACAAGAATGAAATGGTAGGAGTAGATCTGTAAGAAGCACAGGCAGCAATTGAACATCTCGACGAGAGTTAGTCAGCTTCAACACACTCCTCCTCTTTAGTCATCTAGAAGATGAAGAATGACCTGCAAACTTCAGATAGGCATCCGCCTGTTTTGTACTGGTGAAAGAAAATCTGGAGCTTCGCATACAAAATAAACTTATGCACTCCCTTTCTTCTTTCACGATTTTAACCATTCAGCACAACATAAACACAGTTCAGTCTAGTATTCTTTTAGTTTAATGATTGTTTCTTGAAATAAACTTTTTTATCTGTACTGAACGGTTCTAACTAACTGACTTCCAATATAGAACTTTGAACAGAATTGCGGCAGTTCAACTTGTCACATTCCACATACCACACAAAGGTAGACAAATAGCAGAGGAAAAGAGATTCAAAATGGACATAATAAACAGATATGTGAGGGAGAAGAAAATAATAGTAAAGTGGGAAAAATGTGACGGTCCAGTGGACATAGGAAATCACAGACAATGATTCTAAGACATATCTCCAATAGTCTCCAAGCTAATTGGTTTTCTTACACTGCCCAGAGGAACTCAGCCAAGCAGCCTACGCCTACACACCTTCCTACATGGCTCAAGTCAACAATCAAAGACTTCATCGACCGGTTCCAGGTTTTGGCTCGATAACCTTTAATCTTTTTCCAGCCTAATCCAATATCGGCTAACATTACCAACCGTTGAGGAAGACAATGGCTTAGCATGTGCAACACACACATATATCACAGCTATTTCAATTGTGATGTAACTTCCCAACCTGATCGATTGACTTATTATTCTTCTCATCGGAAGATTCACTCCTTGTTCTAAGTAAGCAATCATTTCAGTTTGCACAAATGATACAACGACGATTTATACCCTTCCCTCATAGACCGTCTGCTTTCATGCAACGAGTCGTAACTTCAAATTTCACCCAGCATACTTTAGCCTGAACAACAGGATAGTAAACTCACACACACACGCACTGTGCGACCCACAACCTAACATAGAAATTCATTCACGCTTGTAAAAGATATAATTACACAGGATTTATGACTAAGCTGAGCCTAGTCTGTCAGTAACTTATTGACTGAATATATCAACCAATCCTGTGCATCAGGATTACATTTTTTTAAATAAACACACAGAAAAGTTACCATTGTATGTTGCACATAATCCGTGAAATTATGACAGTAACGATGTTACAGAAATGTAATCTCTACGGGTGTTAAACATAACAGAATCCATCGGAATGACAATAAACTCTGTGGTCTTGGCTATCGAGCAAAGGGCGGGTGTACTGCACGCCAGCAGTCCGCTCCGTCCTCCTTTATGGCTGTGAGTGCGACATGGCCATTGAAAGTGGAAGACATGAAAAGATCGGCTAGCTGTCTTTGGTCATAAGTGTCTGCGTTCTACCTCCCGTGTGAAGTGGTATAATAAGGTGAGCAATATTGAGGTTAGGCATCGGTCGAGTGCTAGGTAAGGAGGGGAAATCAATAGACGAGGCTGTGAGACTACATCGACTGAGATGGTTAGGACATGTGTTACGTATGCCTAGTCATCGCCTCCCTCGACCGACGGTCAATGTTAGCTGACATAGGGTCACACTGGAAAAGAGCTAGTGGCGGTCAAACCAAAACATGACTACACCAGTCAATGAAATCCACAAGTTAGTTTAAGCCAACAACGTAGGAAGGTGTAAACTTCCTGGCTGGTTGGGGTCCTCGGGACGGTACAAACCAATGGCTGGAAACAATTGGTGATGTGACTCAAAAGCGTTCTCAATGGCTGGCGCAGATGCATCCACTCCTTGTGACTTATGATTTCAAATGAAACTGTTCTGTTCTTCTTTATTACTATTCCTTTGTCTCACACCTCTGTTTACTCTCTCTATTATGCATTTCTCCTACTCTCTTCTCTTCCTTTGTGTGCTACATGGAGTGTGGCGATTTGAACTGCCGCACATATGTGCACAGTTCTATATCGAAAACAGACAGACAGGTCTTGAAACGGTTATCAAAGCTATGGAACTTTAATCAATACAACTGTACCTGAAATACACTGTTTTTTTACAAATTTGTACTAGGTTTAATATACATACGAATGAATACAAGATATTTAAAAAAAACTTACATGTAGGGGTAATTAGTGTGTTGATGAGGGGTATTGTTAGCCTACAAAAGAATTAAGATTAAAGTGAAAGTGTGATAAGTTGCACTTTTATTAATCAGGAATAGACTTGATTTAGAGAACCATTGTAAACCATGGAGAACTGGATGGTTGTTTCGTCCTTGATTGGGATGCTTCATCAGTACAATAACCAGGACCTTCAGATTACAAGGTGAACTCATTCAGCCATTGCGGTGTAGAAGTCTATCCCTGAGCTCTATTCCTGGCAGGGTTTTTTTGCTTCTGAAGACGCCTAAGCAAGGACAAAACAACTGTCATGTACTCTCTGGTTTCTTCACGGTTCTCTAAATGACGTCAGGTCGTGACCAAACCTGTTCCTATGATTGGTGAAGCTTATCATTATTATTGAAGGAAGTCAAGGCGAAATGCATACATCATCAATGCGAAACTAATGTAATAATAATAATAATCTTTATTCCAAAAACAGTACTTATAATAAAGAATGGAATTCTCAGCATTTGCCACAATATTACATCTGATTTACTCAAAATATAAACAAAATTAAACAGAGGAATTTGTCCACATTTACGATATAAAGTCGAAGTATTCGAAGCACGAGTAGAAAATACTAAGTGTAGTAATAATAATAATAACAGTGGGTTTGTTTCAAACAGTTTTGTCGATTCAGTTTGGAAATTTTAGTATGTTATAGATTATTGAATCTAATGTTCTGTTGATATAGCAGCATGGTGAGGGGAAATACAAAATTAACAGTTATAACACAGCTTAAATGATGTTCACACTCATGGAAAAATAAAATAAACAAAAAATTGAGAGGATTATGAATATAAAAAGTACAATAACAATAAAGTTTGATGCTGTAAGGGTGGAGGAAATGGTTTATTTAGTAGTGCAAAGAAGGTTAGTTAGTTCATGCCTAACACTACTTTCATCACATAAAGTACGTGCTGCCAAATATGGTAAAGTGGAATTTTTATACCTAGACGTGCATAAAGTCTTCTGAAAAGACTTCTAGTTTTACCTGGGGAGAAACAAGGTTGGAGTTGCGGGTAAAGTGGATGCTGACAGTCTGACCAAATTCTTTTAGCGAATTTATTGCATGACATCAAGTGCTTATCAGTGACAATGTCAACGATATGGCCCAATTGGATACCACTCGCCCTACTGACAGTCTTTAGAGTTCTACGAAGTATCCAGGAAAGAATAAGGGTGAACAGTAAAGAAGAATAGGTAAGATGCACGAGTCGACAAACTGTAAGAGGAGGGTTTGGTTGAGTTATACCCGAGAGTGCTTTGACTTCTTAATGTAAAAAGTCAGACGAAATATTCTTTTAGAAATCGCTAAGACATGTGAAGACCAGGATAGATCAGAAGAAGGAATTAATCCAAGATACCTAACTTCATACTTGGTTTCTATATCACTATCATCAATTTCGCAACGGTCATAGGAACCAACAGCTTTATTTAGCTTTCTATTACATCGGAAACTGAAAAAAGGCATAGAGATATATTCTATCTACTATGATTCTTCAAGTGAAGTTAATTCGTGATCAAAATTGAAATTAATCGAATGTCTGCAAACCAACACTGGAAAATTATATAGAAGGTTGACTTTACTTCTTCCCAGTCTGTCGGTCGGTCGGTCGGTTTTCGACATAGAACTTTGCACATATGTGCGGCAGTTCAAATCGCCACACTCCATGTAGCACACAAAGGAAGAGAAGAGAGTAGGAGAAATGCATAATAGAGAGAGTAAACAGAGGTGTGAGACAAAGGAATAGTAATAAAGAAGAACAGAACAGTTTCATTTGAAATCATAAGTCACAAGGAGTGGATGCATGTGCGCCACTGAGAACGACTTCTTCCCAGTAAAATGAGACAACAAAAAAGAGTGATTTTAATTGTGCAGAAAAAACGTGGATTTAAAGTCGGAATATGCTTGACAGTGACTATCACTCACAGACATTAAGGCACCGCCCACAATGTGGCTTGTAAGTTAGTACAATATGCGCACCAAAAGTGGTCCGATACAAAAAAGGATAACAACAATATGTGAAAAAGAGAAACAAAATGCTTCAGGAATAATAAAATGTAAACAGGTAAGCATAATTCTCAAGAGTACTTACTAATTAATATTACTTCCGGAGGAAGTAAGTTGGAAGTTGCAGCAGGATCACTGTTGGTTTCGATCCCAAGGACATGCCTGAAAGTGTCTTGAGATACTGAATTCCATGGCCTCGTGGACGCCATCCAGAAAGTTGCAAGATACTATCGGATACTAACCCTACTACTACTACTCTTTACCCCACAGCGTTGTGTCATCAACTAACCATCTCTCAAATTGTTTTAACCAATCCAGTATCTAGAAAACTGAAGTGTGAAAGCCTGCGTGTTGACATTTGTAACACATGTCTTAGCCGGCGTCTTAAAGCGACATCATTTGCTGAAAGACGATTTTCACTGCATCAAACATATTATTGGACCTCGGGGATTACTGGCATGTCAACGCCACTGTAAGCAAGCGACTAAATGGACACAGCGCCGATCGAATAACTAAAACTACTTCACGTCAGCCCGAAGAATCCAGGTTTAACTGGCGTAGAGCATAACTGCATAGACATTTGTTGTAAAGTCAGTATTTGACGAACAGGTTGGCATATGTTGCATTGAGATTTTATTTACACCATCAGCACTCACACAACTACCTGGATGCACAAACTTTTCAAATACTTATGAGAGTTAACCTGCGAGGATGAGAGACGGTACAAGCTTCATCCAATCTTATCACATTGCATTCAACTTGGAAGGTGAAAATTATACACCATACTTACTGACACTAATCGCCAAATTACCATTTAGGTAATCTGAAAGTTATCACAGTAAGATGATATCGTCTGTATACTCGAGGCTGAAAAGTCTTCTCCTTTGCAGATCTACACCACCATTAGGCACAGCCTTCATGGTTATCTTCAAAATTTTATCGACAGCGAAGTTATATGAAGACATTACTAAACCAATCACTTGTAATTCCTTGCAGTCGGGAATGTACCACACCACCTATCTGACTGCCCAAACCTCAGTAGGTGGAGCGGGTTTCCTACCTGTGACCTCCTTGGCTGGAAGTCGAGTGTCTAAGCCAGTAAGACTGTGCACCCATGTCTAACTTCAATAACTAATTGAGAACACTGGTAATGGGTGGTTATATGCCATCGCTCTACTTGTATTATTTCCTAAAAGAGGTCCTTCCCAAAAATCAAACCCAGCCCTAATATATCAGGAATTACAGTGATTGTTGGACTGCATTACATGTGACAACGCTCCAGCAACTGACAAAGGGTGGACATGTGATCGTCCCATCAACGATACTAAATACTGAATGGGTTTTAGTAGTGAGTAAAAAGCCAAACGCAAAACAGTACGGTCAGTTAAGGTTTATAGTGAGGCGGTGTAAAGCTGTGCTTTTCAGATTACTCGGAATACACGCTACTAAGATTTGAGGAACCTACAATTCAACATCACGGGTGACACAATTCTGAACATTAACAGGTTATAAGCAAAGGCGGTCTTCAGGAATGGTTAAATTCCACTAATTAGAGACCAAAAACCCACAAATTCACAGTTAAATATCATATGTTATGATTACAAGGAGTGAAAAGTACTCTTGACTTATTACCAGATACATGTCTGCTCAGGAATATTCACACACTCCTTATGGACAATTAACATCACATGCAAAACGGTAAAACAAAACAATAAAAGCTTTATATAAAGCTCACTTGGTAATCTGCAGACCCTGAAGTATCGACTGAGGAATTTTGATTTGAATAGCTTTCATTTGCATTTTTGTTAGCTTTAGCTGCCTGAAACTCCTTCAGCTAGTGTAAAGAAGTCACAGAAAAACACAGAACATCACTTTTGCTTTATTTCATAAAAATCAATCAAAATGGATCAATAATGCATATTTATAAGCAGCTGTGCGTCGGTGGCACAGTGGTTAGGACTCTCGCCGACCATGCACATGGTCCGGGGTTCGATCCCCTGCCGGCGCACACCCGATATCTATGGTCGGCCTGCAAAATTTGGGCTACCGATATCCATGCTGAAAATTCCATACTTGTACTGAAAATACGGTGTGGAATCAAGCTGTAAATCAAAATTAAAAAAAAATTAAAGACAGAATTTTTCAGACCCCATAGGCTAGCACATAATTTTAAGTGACACAGTACATTCTGAGACTGTTTTTGCGCTAGTAAACAGGTGCAACATGCAATTCAATAACAATCTTATCAAATAAATTTCATATTTTTAATGCTTGACAGTCAATTCTTATTACGACAAAATGGTATTACGAGGGACAAATGTGTAGAGAAGGAAGAATAGTTCGTTCAATAAGGAGTAACTCAAATCTTTATATCTGCACAGTTGTAACTGATTTCTAACAATCATAACTGCAGAATACACTAGTTGTCTTGAAGGCATATTCATACATCCAGCATCCAGGTTGTACAGCCCAATAAGAGCTTACACACAAACTAGAAGAATACAGGTAAGTGATTTACATAGAAAATCATTTGTCATACTTTCACAGCAGCCCGAGCACGGATCCAAAAGCTCGAGCTGCTTTCGCTAACTTACACCGTCTCTGGCGTAGGCGTGACATCCGGTTATCAAACAAGAGACGTGTGTACTGCTCAGCAGTTCGCTCCGTCCTTCTCTATGGCTCTGAAACATGGCCAATACGAGTTGAAGACATGAAAAGGTTGACTGTTTCTGATCATAGATGTCTACGATCTCTTTCTCACGTTAGGAGGTGGTAATAATAAGGTAAGTAATGTTGACGTTAGGCGTAGTGTTGGGCAAAGAGGGAAAATCAATCGAAGAGGCTATAAAGTTACATAGATTGAGATGGCTAGGTCACGTGCTGCGCATGCCTAACCATCGCCTCCCCCTCCCGACGGGCATAACTAGCTGATATAGATGCAGGTTGTAAAAGAGTAAGTGGTGGCCAAACAAAAACATGGCCTCATCAGTCCATGAAATCCTTAACAGTTAAACTGAGTCAGGTAGGGAGATGCAGACTTCCGGGTTGGGGCCCTCGGGACTCTAAGGATCAATGGCTGGTGACAGGAAATAGGTGACATGGCTCGAAATCGTTGTCAATGGCTTACGCAGATGTATTCAGTCTCTGTAATCCTTCATATTCCTTTCTACCATTACTCATTCTGTTTCACTCTTATACTTGTCAAAACTCTATTGATTCTCTTCATTACTCATTTTCTTGTCTACCTTTGTGTGCTTTTTGAAAGGTGGCAACTCGAACTGCTGCACTTCGGTGCCAAGTGCTATGTTGAATCCAGCCAGCCAAACTTTTACAAAATTCATAATAGTGTTAGCAGTGTTTGTAGGCAGACGTTCAGTACTACGGATTTGCACTACACACGGGTCATAATTAATAGTTATTATTATTACTTTCATCTATGAGCTGAATAACTAGATCAAATTAATGCCAGAAATAATTATTTGGAGTTGATTTTTGCACTAACGTAGTTATTCCGTCTTTGGTAAATATGACACCTCAATAAGATACTAAGTATTACCTACTGTGACTAAGACAAGTAGGTAAATTGATGTCAGTGTGAGTCTCCATCGATTAGGTTTCCAAGAGCACACATTACGTGTTAACAACCACCCATCTTATTGAAAAGCAATAATGCTAAAGACAGGACTAGGTTAAGAAAGAGATGGGGATAGTCGTATTCAAAAACACGGTACTAATCGACAAATTGACTGGATATTGGTATAAGTTACGTAAGGGAATATAAGTTCATACGAATTCAAAGCATATGCAATGAAAATACTATGCTGAGAGAAACATAAATCTCACAAAAATATTCACTGAAGTTATGGATATATCAAAGTGAATACTCCAATAGTCTAATAGTCTTCAAACAAACATGAATACACTATTTTAATCTTCAGGGTGAAACATGAAGTCTAGGTATTAAACAGATCTAAAAGGTCACTATAGAACGCTCTATGCAACTAAGCTAACATTCATAAAAGAAATGGAAATAGTGTTTTCCATCACAGTAATTCAGTGATGATAAGATTCTAGTGTTTATCAATTTAAACCCAGGACCACACATACACACACACAGAGGACCTATTGGTATCTATGTTCAGGTTACCTAAGTGGCTGCAACAGTGGGTCAAATTGAACCCATGAGCCCGACAAAAGATGCCCAACATAACCTATCTAAAAGTACATCATACTGATACCATAAGGTTAATTTCAACACTCCTAGACCCATATATATATATATATATATATTCTTTAAAGCACTAGCCATAAAACGGTTTAAACCTACTTTGTGTCCAGAAATCTGTTAGTACACTGAAACAACTTAGTAGTGCAACTTTATTTAAATACTGACATTATTTTCATCACTTAATATGACACTGACTCCTGATTTGAAATTCTGACCTCAAATGCATTAGTGTTTGTCACACTATGTCAACGATTACATAAATACCTACGGCAAAACAACCGGTCGGTCGGTCGGTCGGTTTTCGACATAGAACTTTGCACATATGTGCGGCAGTTCAAGTCGCCACAATCTATGTAGCACGCAAAGCAAGAGAAGAAAGTAGAAGAAATGCATAATATAGACAGTAAACAGAGGTGTGAGACAAAGGAATAGTAATAACGGAGAACAAAAGTTTAATTGGAAATCATAAGTCACAAGGAGTGGATGCATCTGCGCCACTGAGAACGATTTTGAGCCATGTCACCAATTGTTTCCAACCATTGGTTTTTACCATCCCGAGGACCCCAACCAGGAAGTCTACATCTTCCTACGTGGCTTAGATTAACTGTGGCAAAACAACCATATCCAAAATATATGTTGCACCCATACACTACATGCCAGACAGATCACCTTTGTCGAAACTTCTGTAGTATAAGTTGCCAGACTGTAGTCCTCAACGATGCTCACGATCAGTTAACCGACAACCTCGGCAACAACTCTAGACATGGCTACATATGAACATAAATATTCTGGATATCTCCTGTTATGTTCATTAAAGTATACAGTATTTTACTTGTTCTCGTTACGTGCACCTTTTCAAAAAGCATAGAAACCTGAACTAGTAAATTTTTGTGTAAACTTTTACACTAATTAGTGTAAGAATTATTCTTTAAATCAACCGAAAATACTTAAATAAATGAACATTTAATTCATTAATACTCAACCTAAGCTAATAAGCAATTTCTATGCGTATTAAAAACTGCACTTAACTTCCATATGCAGTACGCTGACTCAAAACGAATCAAACTACATTCTCTTCAACACAGAAACCACAACAAAACGTGTCTGCAGAAACATCTTTCTACTTCATCTTAGGAAATCTTGCATGTGTTGTGGAAAAACGATTATCAAAGGATTCATGAGGAGACTATAGTTCCCTCATAAGATTATAATCTCAATAAAAATCATTTCTACAAGTATAACGTGAAAATCGACAGTGGAATAATCCAATTGAAATATCAAAACTAGTGGGAAAAAATTAATTTTTAAATCTTTCTGATAATGCTTAGGGGACCTAACCTTCTTCTGTGCAGCTGCAATTCTATCTGCCCTACTTAATTCTGGCATTTTGTTTCTTCGCCAGATTAAGTAAACAATGACGTGTTCAACGAAACTAATGCCGCCCTCGGTGACCTTCAGGAATCCAATTCCGTACACTCCAAGGTTGGGAAGACAAGATTTCAGGTGAACATACAGAAGACGGAGGTGATAAAAATAACCGACCAACCACAAGAGCAAACACCAATCACTGTTAACGAAAGAAATTTGAAAAAGGTCGCTTCCTTCACCTATCTAAGAAGTATCGCTTCAACTACAGGTGAAAGCATATTTTTGATTGCACACTAGTCAGTAACTAGTGTAATGCGTCTATCCTATCTTCGGTGCAGACTGATCATCATGTTTGCAATGTGGCCACCATGCTAGTTGAGCCACCTAGCATGGTGGCCACATTGCAAACATGACTGATAGAATTCAGTCTGCACCGAAGATAGGAGTAGACGCATTACACTAGTTACTGACTAGTGTGCAATCAAAAATATCCAATACAGTCCTACAGGAGGTTAGTCACGAGCCTGAATAGCTCAGTGGTAACGTCTCTGACTGCAGCACTGGGTGACGCGGGTTCGAATCTCAGAAGGGACACCAGTTCCTTCAAGGTTGCAGATACGCCTTGCTGATGAGTGCCAACTAGCACGAAACCTAGGTCCAAGGCTTCCTGCCGATTGCCTCCAACCATCTAATACCAACAGAGGTGAAAGCAATGATGAGGATGTTATAACCCTCATCAGTCTGAAATCATTTAGAAATCTTCTGCATTCAGCATAAGCAACAAGATTCGGATTTTCAACACTAATATTAACTCAATTCTCCTATATGAATCAGAAACTTGGTGCGTCGGTGGCACAGTGGTTAGGACTCTCGCCAACCATGCACATGGTCCGAGGTTCGATCCCCTGCTGACGCACACTCGATATCTATGGTCGGCCTGCAAAATTTGGGCTACCGATGTCCATGCTGAAAATTCCATACTTGTACTGAAAATACGGTGTGGCATCAAGCTGTTATCAAAGATCAAAAATAAAAATAAAAAATAACTAGTGGCTGTAGACTTTTATCATACTTCATACTGAATATTGGATGGCTGCAGAAGATAGGTCAAAAGGAACTCTTTTAACGATCCAACCAAGAACCTATTGCTCAACAAATGGAGGTGGATGGGGCAAACTCTGTGGAGACCGTTGGGTGACGCCGCGCACCAGGCAACTACTCGAGTAGAACTCGAATGGGAAACGACGAGTTTGGCTCCCAAGGGTGGTAAGGAGGAAACCGTGTGAGAAGGAAATGAGAGCCTATGGGCAATCTTGAGGTAGCTAAACAGGATTTCAGAGAACATGATGAAGTGGATATGTGCTGCTGAAGCCTTATGATCTACTTGGAACCTAAAGGAATAATAATATTATAAGACAGTAAGTGTCCGCTATTATTACTGTCACTATTATTCTTTCCGTGCCTTCCAAGTGGAACACAAGACATCAGTGACAAATCTTCATTCCACTCAGTTCTTTACCATCACTATCAGTTGGTTCAACAGTAGCCCATTAACTTCCATTTCATAAGTACACAGTCCTTTCCATGTAAGTGAGAAATGCTTTCAATGATGTGATAAGCTTCTGAAACATTCAGAATGATTGGCTTGAAATCAGTATTGAAAATGCATATCTTCTTCGTACTCAGCAATGTAGGTCTCCACACTGATTGAAGAATGATGTGCGTTTTTCTAACTTGCTAATCGTCCCATTGACATCTTCACCACTACCGCTTGTAACTGAAGTGTTGATGCCAAAGTAAGTGAAGAGGACGAGTACCTTAAAGTTCCTACCGTTAATGATGATTGGTGCTTGCAGTTATTGGCCAAGTATCTTTATCGCATCTGTCATTTGCCTTTGCACAATTAAGTCCTATCTTGACAGACTATCTAACCAACTTTTTGGTTTTCGTTGATATATCTCCGAGTTTGTGGGACTAAAGATGCAAATCATCCATGATATCCAGAGTCCTGCAGGGTCCGTTCGCCAGTGCAACCTATGGCCGCCTTCTCATCCCCTGAGGTCTGTTGCATGACCCAGTCCACCGTAACGATGAGATTAGGAGCCTAGAGTGCCCTACAGTCCCCAGCATGATGTGGCTTAGTATTTTCCTAACGTGGACCGGAGTATGTATCTGCACGAGTTCTAAAACAGAGGCACCGCTCACTGAAAAATTGAAAAGGTGACCTTTCTTCACACTGACAAGTATCTCTTTTTTTATTGCCTTATACCTTAGCAAGTTGGTGCATCCGCTGAGGCTTCCGGACCCGTTTTCAGTGTCCCAGCGGAGATACCATTCAATTCTTACGTTTTTAAAATAGTATGGCTTCCGTGACTTCCCTGCGTTTGTGAACAAGCACCATGAAAGGCTTCTTCCAAGAAGTAAGGTTTTGTCACCTCTCTTGTGAAGATGATTATAGTATCAGAAGAAGTGAATTCACCTCATTTTTAATAAAACAAAAGATATAGTTTGTGGGTAAGGTGTTAACAACTACTGTTTAGACACTCATCTCTTTATCAGGGAAATCTGAGAAGTATTTGCCGTCCAAACTCTGTACTCTGGCAAAATTTTCACCCAAAATATCGCATATCTCCTCAGCATTTTAATGCGTAATGCTGTCTACAAGCATTAGTTTCGGGTAATTGTCTCAGATTTTGTCTGAGTGTTACCACGATGCTGCCACTTTCATACCTTGCAACAAATTTGGGTTTGAAATAGAGATACCGGGCTGAACATAGATATGGTGATCACTACTGCTACTGACCTACTTCATCAGTGTGAACGACAGGCACCTGTTTGCCCAGCAGACACTACTTAGGCGAGAACACAACTGAGACGAAAGTGTATTTATCGGTGTCCGAATGAGTATCAGCAAACAGAATAAAAAGATGATATACATACATGGTCAGTGCCGTGGGTGACAGAAGTAACCATAAAGGGAACATGGCTTATTCCAAAACTCACCTTGAGTACCATATCATTTCTAAAAAATACTTTCCTGGGTTCGTGAGAGAAGCGAGTGGCTGGAATACGATTAATTGAGAAGTTTTAAAAATTCGAGTACTGAAGTTCACTAGGAATAATTATTACTCCCTTGGTTTTCATGTGGAATATAGGGCTTTATCAACACATCTCTACATTCTTCTATTTTCCGACGTCTTCTTCAGCTGCGTCCGAGATTCGCGATAAACTCTAATCTCCTCCCCCAAGTCACCATCGCACTAAATACTCATTCGCTGCTTCCCATTAGGATTACACTGGAGCAATAACCTACATTGCGCGCGACGTGATTAGACGGCCTCTTCAACGTGTACCCGATCTACACTCCATATTTGTTGTGCAATCGGGTCTCGCCTGTTGGTTTGTTGCCAGCCAGAGTTTCTTGTTACTAGTTTTTTCTAGTCAGCTGGCCACTTAATCTTCAGTATGGAGCCAGTAAAGGTGGCAGCTGTTGATGAAGTCTGCTTTAGCCTGTTGGAAATGCTTCTGGTGACATGCAGTACAAGTTTCTGACTGGTATAGAAGAACTGACTGACTTCACATCTGTGTTGAACAGAGTCCGAATCTTGTTCCTCATGCTGGTTGAGTGCAGAAGATTTCCAGACTGAATTCAGATTGATGAAGGAGTATTTCACCTTTCCGATTCCGGCCAGCTTTGACATCTTCATCTGTTCCGCCTGTAGTTGAGACGATGCTTGCTAGATAAGTGAAGGAAGTAACCTCATTCAAGTCTGTCCCGTTGATGGTGACTGGCTCCGATTGTTGTTGCTGTTGGTGGTGGATTGTTATCTTCATCACCTTCGTCTTCTCTAATAATAATATATTTATTCCTATCTTTGTAGGACACACCAATTAAACAGGCATGGATAATCGTTATTTAAATCGCATAAATTTGGTTTATGGGGAATTTATATTTTTGACGTCCATTTTTCTTTAGTTTTCGGGAACAATCCGCTAACTAGTCATGCACTGGAGCACATTAAGAAATATTGAAATATTGTCTCCACAAAAACAAAAACGACCCAAGCACATATTGGATGGATAAAAGATGATAATCCACATTCTGATCTCGTAGATATCCAGCACTTCTATGCCATATCTTCGCATTCCCTAAGCTACCTGGGCAGCCTTCCCAGCCAACCTCGTACACTGTACGGAGATTACACGTTCCAATTCTTATTCTTGCTTTCTTCAATCGAGAGAAGACACATCAGCTGGCTTACAGGCTTACCGAAGACTTTCACCGACCCACGTTATTTCGCCTTTACATTTCCAGTGAAGAACAATATTGTTACTTGTGTTTTCTAACTTTTAGTGCTTTTTGTGCGCTGAAGTCTCTGTAGCAACTTAATAGCTTTTGTAGTGTAGGGTCGGTAGCTCTACGCCCAACCTTTCTCCTTATCCCGGGCATGGAGCCGGCTAGAAAACTATCGAGCTAGTTAACTAGGCGAAGTTTTTGATTTTAAGTCAGAAGTAGTACTAGATTGTCTGTTATCGGGGATGATATTTTTTTAAATTGTTGTTAAATAGACTGTGTCACAGGCTGTGGAAGGTGGGGAGGCAGTAATACTTTGTACAGACGGAAAGAAAATGTGAATGATTTATGTTTTGTATCACATAAATTCCGAGACCTACAGGTGGTAACCAAAATTGACAGAATAATTTGTGAACAATGAACTTCAAATGAATATAGAGAGGACAGAGTTAGTGATAATGCCCGAGCATCAATGACATGCATCAACCACTATCAACGGGAAATATTTCAGTGATCTCTATTGTTTCGCTCATTTGGGCGAATTTATTTCCAAGATAGGCAGCACGCAAAGGGATATCAAAGCGCAGGATCCGGAAAGCAAGACAGGCACACACTAACTTGAAGTCACCTTGGAAATCTGTGACACTCAGCATAATGAACAAAATTTGTCATTTTAACATTAACGTCAAGTCAATCATATATGATTAGAAATTTAGCCTGCGCGTCACTGAAAGCATTTCCAACAACCTGAAACTTTCATCAATACATGCCTTCGCTCCATAACGAACGGCCGAATAGAAGCGACAAACAGC